CCTGTAGTTTGCACAGCACAGTAGGCTGTGGCAGACTGAGTTACAGCTATTTTGGGAAAGAAAATAGCTGGGGGTTTTATGTTTAAGAAATTGTAACTAAGAAAAGAACATTCTCTCAAGTAACCAATACGCTTATAAGAAACAAGAACACTTTTATCTGTAACCATCAAGCCTCTGAACCTGCATATCACTTGTAAATCTATAATTTGTAAACAATAAACTCTTTCTTGTTATTTTTAAAAGTCAAGCCTGAGTCAAGTGCCATTTTTGGTTTTGAATCCTTTTCCTTATTGAATCAACCTCTTCTGTTTCCCCTCACAGAAAGCCCTTGATAACACACAGCCTTTGGTGGAATAAAAAGCCTTTTAATAATTTAAACAGCCTTTTTAACATTTTAAAAAATAGCTAGAGGGTTCGTGATTTCTTTAGTTTTGGTGGCAGCGAAAGTTTTACATAACGTGACATCCCCTCAAGCACTATTAGAACCAAGGTGGTGTGAATTCCTTATTTAAGGAAGGACGGTGGTGGGATTCGTTTGACCCCCTGCCCAGACGCCTCTTCTGAGTTATTATAATTGGTGGCAGCGGTGGGATTTCTTTGATTGTTTCCCCCCTGCCTTGATAAGCCTCGAAGACCCTTATAACCGTCTCAGTTCCATGTCCCGGCCTGAAACCAGACTGTGCCGGATCCAGATAATCCGTGTCTCTCAAGAATACCTGGAGTTGTGAGGCCACCACGCTTTCCATGACTTTGCCCAAAAAGGGGAGATTGGAAACAGGCCGAAAGTTGTCAAATTTAGTGGGGTCCAGTGATGGTTTCTTCAACAGCGGTTTTATAATAGCTTGTTTTAAGCTTGCTGGAATTTCGCCTTCCCGGAGGGAGGCGTTAACCACCACCGTTACCCACTCAGCCAATCCCCCTCTGGCCTCCTTCAGAAGCCAGGATGGGCAGGGGTCTAGGATGGACGCAGTGGGCCTCATTCCTCCAAGTATCTTGTCCACATCCTCGGGCTTCACAAATTGAAAAGAATCCATCAAAATAGGACAAGCAGGTGCTCGTGTCACATCCTCAGAGACTGCATTTAACATGGTGTCTAGACCAGAACGGATCAAAGCGACTTTGTCTGCAAAGAACCGAGCAAATGCTTCACAGCATGTGGCCGAATTGTCAGGGCTCCCGCCTGGGATGGCGGGAGTTAAAAGACCTCTGACAATCCGGAACAGCTCCGCCGGACGGTTCCTTGCAGACGCAATAGTAGNAGGCGACTTTGTCTGCAAAGAACCGAGCAAATGCTTCACAGCGCGTGGCCGAATTGTCAGGGCTCCCGCCTGCGATGGCGGGAGTTAAAAGACCTCTGACAATCCGAAACAACTCCGCCGGACGGTTTTTTGCGGACGCAATAGTGGCCGCAAAGAAGGTTTTCTTTGCGGCTTTTATTGCCGCGGCGTATGCCCTCAAAAAGGACACAAACCGTGCTCGTATTATGTATTATTGTATTATGATACAAGGCAGAAAATGGCTTTGAAATAAATGTTCAAAATGTATTGTTGTCATATTACTGAAAAGCATAAAACCTTGTTCAGTAAATTTATAAACAGAAATATCTGTTGTGATTTTAGTTTTTGGATTTCCATGTCACAGAAGGACAGTTGTCAATATATCTTTATGACAGAGACTGATTGACAAAATGTCCCTAGTGCTCCAATGTATTAGAATCTCCCTGAGGACTCTGGTCTTGCAAAGTAATTTTGGATGCTAACTTTATATACTTTTTCTTAATTTCATTTCTATATTTATTTTCTTTTTTGTTTGCCTGACCTGCAAAGAAATATACCATGTTATGTATTTTCATTGTAGTTGTTCGTATGTGAGCAAGTTAAATTCCATCCTATTTGCATGGCTTGGTGCATGGCTGTGTGCCTGTATGGCTCAAGGGCTTTTTGAAATCAGAGGCACACACATTGCTAATCCACTCTGGTGGGAGACACTCGGTAGCACCATCCTTTTCCTCAGTACTACATCAAGTTCAGAAAGGATGTCATTGGAGTAATAACAATAACAGCAGGCCTATCTTTTCCCTATGACATTCTCTTGTGCAGATTTACCACAGGAAGTGGATTATCTTTAAAGTGTGTCTTCTTCCAGAGTTTGAGCAAGTTATTTTTGAACTATAGGATCCTGGCTGGAGAGATATGTGAACTGCAGTCCAGAACCAACATATCCAATTTTTACTCATTCAAAATGCTGCTCTGGAAGTTGAAAGTTTTTGTTTTTTACAGACCAGTTTTCTGTGTTTATCCTTCTTTGCCAATTAATAAACTTTTCAACAAAAACCTAAGTGATATTTATATGACATTATATGATTGTCAGATCCTTCCTGATCTTGGAAACAAAGCAACATCAGCTCTGCTTAGTACTTCGATTAAAAAACTGCCAACTTTCTTGTTTCATGGGTTTATTGAGAAATGTTGTGATAGTCCAGCTTGTATATTATTTATTGTAACATATCATTAATAAAAGAACCTTAATTTTCCTGGTTAGTTTAGTGAATAGTTCAAATCATTATGAACAGTACATATTTATGTTAGTGAAAAATCTGTGTAATACAACTGGAGACTGCCCTCCATTTCTGAAGCTTTGAAAAATGTATATATTTGCTTTATGACAACAAAATCCTAAACTTCTTACAACCATCTCTCTGTAAACAAAAATTACAGATTCAGAGAATAAGATGCATCACAGGTAGTTTTCCAGATTGTCTCCTTGACTTTATACATCAGCAATTAGAAGAATGCCACAAAATTTTACTCTCAGAAGGTCCAAGAACTCTTGTATGTTTAGGCTCTGCATTGAACAGGGAGTAAGACTTGCAGGCTGGCTCATGTACAATATCTTAGCATAAATGAATATCAAAGTATGCATGTAAAATGTTACTAAGGTTGGTTGTTGTGTGTTAATTGTGCACCAAAGATACTACATTTATGTTTTTGCATTGTTCCTATCCCTGGCTAGAAAATGCTGTGGGTGGAGGGAGTCAAATAAAGTGAAGTTGAATCACAAGATGGAGTCTCAGGCCCCACCTACATTGGCATGTAATATAGTTTGAAACTGCACTGTATGGCCAACCTAGATGTGGCTAGATTGTGGATTCATCATATGGTAATTCAGTTCACAACCTGCTCAGATGGAGCTGCATTCCCGTTGAATGAGGCACTACATAGCTTGGAGGTATCCTGCCTCTGAAGGCTCAACTCCCCTTGGGTGGCTCAGAATATTTTTGATTACTACAGTATTGGTTGACTTAAAGTCTAAAATAATCCCTATTTCCATGTTGTCAACATGAGAAGGATCATTTACTCTTAAGTGAATATCTTACTGTTGGCCAAATCATCAGGGACCTAATGAGATTATAGCTGGGTTTCAGTGTTTAGAATTGTGGGCTTTATTTTCATTGCTAAATTGTTATAAAGATTTAAGGATTAACTGATTTTTTAAAAAAGTATATTGGCCATGTTCTTGTTCAGTTCTAGGACTTTCATTAAATGAGGTTCACTCAAGAAAGTGTCATTGTAGATTTATCAATTTAAAGTTAGTATAGGTTCTTGTTAGAACAGGTTCATGTTTTAGTAATCAGAATATAGTTCACTGCTTCATTAAAAACCACACAATTTCTTAATATATAGGCCTGTTTAATAATATTAAAATCATAGTTGGCATTTTGAGCATCGTTTTTATATAACCATTCCAGTGAAATTAATTTTCCAGTTAACCTGATAGAAACCTATATGCAGGAATGTGGCTGAAATGAGTAATCTTATACTGTACTAATGTATGGATATCGTACAAGATGAGTGGAGAGCAATAGATTTGAAAGTACTGTGAGCAGACTAAATTTTATCTTATTGTATGGTTGGATACACACGATCTTGATGGGTTAAATGGTGGGTAAAATTGTGATATTAATTCCATTGGAATGCTTTTAGAGGGTAAATGTAGCAATATATTAAAGTAATTATTTCATGATCTTTAGCATGAGTGAGTTTAGGTCATTCTGTTCTTTTGAGTATATTACTAACTCTTACGATTAATATGCTGATAGTTTTGAATTACAATTTATGTTAAGAATATTGAGCAAATGCTCTAATTTTATAAATAGCTTAATGTAACATTTGATTTCTTTTCTTTACATAAATTAGTTCTCAAACTGTAGGATTAGAGACAAAATATAGGCATTAGGGCTTCACTGCCTTTCTGCCCTATTTGTTATGCTTTCCAGTACACTAGAGTCCAAAATTTTAGTGCAATTCTCAGTCTACTCACAATGACTAAACTGATATGTCAGACAGCTAATCAAGAAAAATGACCACAAAGGTCTTTTTGGAATATTGCACATTCATTTACAATGTGGCTCTTTGGACTTTAACCCAGTTTTAAAAACCTTGCCTTTTACCCAGCAGTTTAAAAGAAAATACAGATTTTTTAAATCTGTGGCTGGCTGTCCAAATCACTGTAGGGGCAGGAGTTCGTAGGGTGCGTCATTGATTGGTGAAAGGTGATCATTCGCAGCAGGGATTAGTTCTTTCTTGGTTTGTATTTAAAAAAATTAACAGAAGCACATTTGAGCAGATACCTTTTTATAATTATAGCAGTATAAGCATAACCCCACTTAACAGAAAATATGTATATTCATCTATGATGGGTGGGAAGCCCAGCAGCAAAAATATGTGTAGGATTGGAAATGTAGATTGTCTTGTAATAGCAAGGTTAATTTACCAAGGGGAGGATGTGTGGGTGGCTTTCATGATCTCACAGTGATGTATGTGATACACATCAGTGAGGACCAGGAAAATGGACTGCTAAGCAGATTTTTTCATCAGCCATGCATGGTGTCATCCATCCTAATCCCCTACTATAACAGAACTTCACTCTAAATATTTATTTATTTATTTATTTATTGCCAAAAGTAAAAAAAATAAAGTGCACATTTCTTTCTTCCACAGTCATCAGACGCAGACAACCTGCTGGGATCACCCTAAAATGACGGAACTCTTCCAGTCTCTAGGTAAATGGGCTTTTCCTTAGTTAAAGCTAATTGGAAAAGATTGTGTCTTGTAGGCTGATTGAAATATACAGAATGGTTCTGTATCTGAGGTTACACATATAGCTGTCCTTCCACATTTCCAATTTTGACTTCTGCAGGGGACCTAGAGCAACATGTTTGTGTGTCAGCAGAAATGTGTAGGTATGTTGCTTGAACATAACAGAAAACTTCTAAGTCCATGTAAAATGAGTAGTAAATCAAATATAAATAAAAGCTTTTCATGAGATACATTGTGTCCCCATATATTTCATTCTTACAATCTGTATAGTTGTTTAACCTCCGGGTTTCTAGTAAAACTGAATTACTGTGTGGCAAAGTTACATATATCTTAAATTTGTGTCACCAACATTTGAATGTTTGGAAAGCTCTGACTTAGAGATTTCTAGAGAGAACACCTCTCCAGGAATCTCTGGGTTTTCCAGTGTGATTTTGTGATTAGATTCCTGTGAAAGTCAACCATAGAGTCATTCTGAAAGACAGTGGGCTCTTCTACACAGCCTTATATCCCAGCATATCAAGACTGAATATTTGCTTTGAACTGGGTTATCTGAGTCCACACTCAGATAGTGTGGGATTTCTGGGATATAGGGCTGTGTGGAAGGGCCCCTGGACCTTCCTAGAAAGGTGTTATCTTGACATTTTTTAAAAAGCAAATATTTCATTTGAAGTTTTCTACTTTCCTAAACTCTAGTGAATGTGGAAGGCTGACGGTATCTTTGATATGTTGCTCATATTAATAATCTTTTTGTGTGAATGTAACATGAAATTAGAAATACATCTTAGTGCATTCAGAAATGTATATTGATATGTGCAATTTACATATGCAGCATGCACTTAGTAAAAATAACACCTGTTTGTCCTTTCTTATTTTGAGATGGATTGTTTTCAGAGCTTTGACGAAGGGTAATGCCTATATCTCAGCTATTTGGGTGTTCATGAAATTACACTTAAGTGGATAATTTCCATGTCAAGATGCACCAATTATGCAAAATAAATCCTAATCACATTTACAGAAATGATAATTATGTTGCAGCTTGTCCTTTAAATTGTTTTTATTTGTTTTTGCAGAGGTGTAGTAGATCATAAGCAAATACATAGAAAGATGTCTCCCTTGATAACAAACGTAACATTTCTAATTAAATGTAAATGATGTATTCTGAAACTGAATATATGTTTCAGCTAGTGTTTCAAGAATAAAACCCATCCTATGGAAAGAATATGAACCATTTTATGGAAAACAGTGTAAAGTGCTCTCTTTAAATATCTTTCGCAAATGTTTCCATAGCAATTTTTCCAGCTACATGGGTAATCTTTCCCAGTGATGGTATCTATTATCATCATCATTATTTATATCCCGCCTTTCTCCCCATGGGGCATCTAATGAGATTTAACTTAGAAGTCTTTACCATAAATTTGACAACCTTCTGAAAAGGTATGGACTGTTCCATTGGAAAGACGCCTAGATCAGTCCTTGGTTTATTTAAACAGCCTCCCATCCATGTAAAGATTGGTTAATTATAAGCTGTAGCCATACACAGGAATATAAAATTACTAATTTTGAATTCATACTTAGGGATTTTTTTCAGCTTTATACTGCATTATTACAATTGAACCAAAAATTGCTATGATATCATGTATATTAAGATATATGAAGACTGTGATTACCAGGCATGGGGCAGACTTCATCTGTATGATACTTCAGCAGTACGATTCCATTCAAGTAATTTTGCTTATGATATTAATGAAACAGAGTTTTCTAAAGTGTTTTTCAGGTGCCATCTCTATGCTAGAATCTGACTTTGAACCTGTCATCTAGTTTGGTCATAAATGTTTTTAATAAATTCTTATTATTTTGGTTTTCATTCTCTTTATATGAATTAGAATTTTGATTGACAATGAATACCCAATAGCGTGGTACTCATGTGCCCTTAAAATATTCTAATATTCTTGCTTTCTGTCATTTTTTCCAGCTGATTTAAACAATGTACGTTTTTCTGCTTACCGCACAGCCATTAAAATTCGGAGACTACAAAAAGCATTGTGTTGTAAGTTTACTGTCAAAGCTCATTATTTTCTTTCCAGAAAGATATGAGTGAAGAGATGAAGCTGATTTGCCCCAAAGGAACTTGCACTAGGAACAGATTCCTACTTGCTGGTTTGTCATTCATATACCAAATGACAAATGTATCCGCTTACAGCATTCTCGCTTTCAATTAACATAGATGAGGGAAGAAAGGATAGGTTAGACCAATGGCACCTTTCTTTCTGAACCCAACATAAAGGTGGGAATCAAAAATGATATACAGTGCAGCAAATGAGTATTCCAGGATTCTGAGCAGAAATAAGTTGGCACCAAGGAAAGTGTAATAGTTAATTCCTATAGTTACTTTCAATTTAAGAAGACCCATTGAATCAATGAGATAAGTATTTGATTTACCATATTGCCATACATTCATTAGGAATAACAATGAGGTTAGCTTAAAGTTCTAAAGTGCTTGGATTAGGAGTGTGCCCTCTCTGCTTTCAACCATCTTATTTTGGGGATTTGCATCTATGGGCCCTTCCACACACCCATATAACTTAGAATATCAAGTCAGATCATCCACAACATATGCTTTGAACTGGATTATCTGAGTCCACACTGCCTGATAATCCATTTCAATGTGGTTTTATACAGCCAGTGATTCCCCCTACAGTCACTGGGCTTATTTGGATTCAAGCATGAGATAGCTATAAAAATCGTGAGTATAGGATTGTCTTGTAATATCCATGAAACGAAAGGCTCTCTCTGTGTGTAGAGCATACTGCTGGAAGCTACTTGGAGATTGTTAAATCTGAAACTGATCATTTCCTGCATGTCAGGCGAGTAGATAGATACCAAAAATGTTCTTTCCTTAAATCTTTGTGAAGCAAACTAATACTGATAGCACTAGAAAGCCAAGTGCAATGTGTGTGTGTGTGTGTACTTGAAAAGGTATGAGAGAACTCAAATGCTGGTTAGTAGTAGCCCTTTAATTTTCTAGTCCTAGTTTCCCCAAAACTCTTTCCCTACATTTTCACAACTGAAATGTATTGTCAGAGCAATACAGCCTTCAAGTGCAGAACAGTCTACAAATGACTCATCTAAAAATACTGTTTGACATCCTTCATATCAAATCCAAATATAATTTTGTTGCTAAAGCAACAAAAACTGAAATGCAAATTTATTTGTGTTTTGGGACTAAAATGTCCTACACGCCTGACCAGGTTTGTATGTATTAGATACTATATGCCAGTGTTTCTAAACCTGGGGTTGGGACCCCTGGGGGGTCATGAGGGGGTTTCAGAGGGGGTCACCAAAGACCATCAGAAAACATATTGCTGATGGTCTTAAGAACCCCTTTGACAGAGTAGGCTGAATATCTCTATCCTTCTCTTCCTTTTTTGGAAACAGTGCATCCTCCCCCCAAAAGCTCTCCTCCACTGTAATTGGCTGGCATCTGAGCTAGCCTTTCAGCCAAGGGGAGGGCTGTTTCTGAGACTCCAAGTGGGGAGCGGAGAGCAGGCATGCTCTCCCCTAAATCGGACAATTTCTCCCAAATCCCTCCAGTATTTTCTGTTGGTTATGCAGGTTCTGTGTTAGAAGTTTGGCCCAATTATCATTGGTGGGGTTCAAGGGACTCTTTGATTGTAGGTGCACTATAAACCCCAGCAACTACAACACCCAAATTTCAAGATATATTTTCCCCAAACTCCACCAGTGTTCACATTTGGGCATAGTGAGTATTCATGCCAAGTTTGGCCCAGATCCATCATTGTTTTGAGTCCGCAGTGTTCTCTGGATGTAGGTGAACTACAACTCCAAAATTCAAGGTGAATTCCCAGCAAACCCTTCCAGTATTTTCTGTTGGTCATGGGAGTTCTGTGTGCCAAATTTGGTTCAATTCCATTGTTGGTGGAGTTCAGAGTGCTCTTTAATTGTAGATTAACTATAAATCCCAGCAGCTACAACTCCCAAATGACAAAATCAATCTTCCCAACCCCACCAGTATTCAAATTTGGTCCAGTGAATGAAGATACATCCTGCACATCAGTTATTTACATTACAATTCATAAAAGTAGCAAAATTACAGTCATGAAGTAACAATGAAAATAATTTTCTGGTTGGGGGTCACCACAACATGAGGAACTGTATTAAGTGGTCATGGCATTAGGAAGTTTGAGAAACACTGCTATAATGCCCTTTAAGCAATTATTGCATCTTTAGAAAATATATTTTTGTTCAACTATCACCAAACCCCTTTCACAGTTTTAATGTATTTATCCATATTTTATTATAGTGGTGTTAAGTATTATACTTCATATCATCCAAGGGCAACCCAATCAAGTGTAAAACCTTTGAAGTTTTACTGTTCTTAACTTTTGACAGGGAAATTTGGATAGATTAATCTGCTTTGCACCTCCTTTTTTTTAGGGAACACTGAAACCAAGCTGCCATGTACCTTTTATTCAAAAGGAGGAAATAGTTTCCCATAATTTAAATGCAGATAGACACCAAAGGTGTCAGACTATATAACACTTGAGAAGGACTAATGCACTAAGGCAAAGAGAATGTCAGATTGAATCACTTGAAAGAGAGGGTCATCATCTGACTGTTAGATGTGACAAATTGCTGTCACAGCATCACTAGAAAACTGAAACGGCCTTTTGGGGAAAGCTGCAATGACATGTCTGAAGCTTGTGTCTCTTGTGCCTCAACTGCCATACTGTGCTTTAGTAGAATGCTTGAAAATTTGAAAATAATAACATTGTGCCCATCCATCTAAATTTTAAACAGACACCTCAGGGTAGGAATTTTAACTGTAGATATTTATTTTGCCCCACCCCACAGCGCTGGTTTAGGGTAGATGCTATGAGTCTAATATTTCCAACACAGTAAATTGGATCTAGATTAATGGCTTGTCGGATCTCAATGAAATCACTGGGATAAGTTGGTAACACCTTAAGGCCCACTGATTTCACTCAGAAGTAAATGCAGATAACTTATTTCAGATCTGATCTTTGTGGTTGGGTGGGTGTATGTTCAAGGATTGATTAATATTTCCTTGGAAGATAATACTTTAATACTCAGTGATAGTTTGTCTAACGTCATAAGGCTGATGGAGTGCTATAAGGTCATAATTATGGGAAATGTGATATAGACAAGACAAAATCCAGCTAATATTTTACTAGTAAAAGCAGGGACCAAACTGTGTAACCTGTAATTCATACTAGACTTATCAAGTCTTCTTTTCATATATACTATTAATGTACTTCTGATTTCTGCCTCCCAACAATGACATGGGGATAGTGAAATTTTAACATTCTCACTGTTAGAAACTATGTGAAAAGATTGCAAAGAAACTGTCAATTTCAATAAATTTTAAACCATTTTTAGTGAGAAAATGGTTTAAATAAGTATCTTACATGCCCAAAAGTAACTCACATCATTACAGATTTGAGCGCCATCTCCTATTATTAGGATAGTGTTCATCTAGAGATATTTTATTCTGTTTTGGTCTCCTAATCTGTACAGTATATAAGCCATCTTGATCCCACATTGGGTGAAAGGCAAGAAATAAACCAATGAACTGCCAAAGGTTGTGTCTTCAAAAGAAATGTTACTCATTCAAAATATCTTCTCTACTGAATTCTTTTCCTAGTGGACCTCCTGGACTTAAATACCACAAATGAAGTTTTCAAACAGCACAGATTGACCCAAAATGACCAGCTTCTAAGTGTTCAGGATGTGGTCAGCTGTCTCATTACGATTTACAGTGGAATGCAAGAGAAGCACAAAGACCTGGTGACCATTCCCCTCTGTGTAGATATGTGTCTCAACTGGCTGCTAAATGTTTATGACACGTAAGTATGAGATGTCATATGCTAAATGAATGTTTTTGCTCAAGAAATATGTACATCATCTCATACTAGAAAAAAATCAGAGAAAACAATCATAGTACATACAGACTACCGTGAGCCGATTGGGCAAAATTTTCTTTATGATTTCAGTGACATTGCAGAGCTTAGCAAGGCCTTAGTGTTATCTTTTAAGAATGTCACTGTGCATTGTCTCTATCCTACAATATTTTGAACTGACAAGGTGTCTTGTGTGACATACTCTATTAAAAGAAATCAACATCTGTGTAAAGCAGGTAATTATTTAATCAACACGAGAGTACTGCACTGACATGGGTCTTGCCTCATGCTCATTGTTGTAGCAACTTATAACTGTATTATCCACTTTTCTGTTTATTTTCTCTCTGAGAAGTATAACCCTGAATTACTACTCTTGTCAAATCCTTCAAAGCATCACTGCTTGAAATGATTGCTCTCAGGTTATACCTATTTTCACTGGAAATACTCTTTTATGAAATCTTTTTTTTCCTATCCAGAAAATGTTTAAAGCATTAAAGCATTTTAAAGTGAGCATATTTTATTCAAGAAAATTACAGATGGGAGAAGGCAAGCATGTAGAAACATGCTGACTAAACAGTCATTGAATAAATAAGTAATCTCTTTACCTTTGTTATTGCATTTCATTCTTCTAGTTTGCAACAGCATAGATATATTAGGTCAAAGCCTGTGAGATATTCACCTTTAAACTTGTGCATTCAGAGATACTATGGGCATAAATGGTACAGTTATGGAAATATCACAATAAATGCCCTGAAGTATTGCTATTGGAAGGAAAGATTTAATTTTTCAGTGTGCTGTTACAGCCAAGATGCTATTCAGTTTTGGTGGGATGGATGCCTGCACCAGCAATATTATGTTTAAGCTTTTTACATGTCTCTTTATTATTATTATTATTATTATTATTATTATTATTATTTCATGTTAAGGTTTATTATTGTCATCAGGTAAAGCTCAGAACTCCTATTCAAACCTTGGAGGGCCACTGCTATAATTGGTATAGACAATAGTCAGATATATGGACCAATTAGCTCTTTAGTAATATTATTCATCAGTGGTTTTCTTTGGTCCATTATAAAAAATTTAGTGCCTTTAAATCCATTTTCAATTGTATTGCTACAGAAAACTTCTCATTAAGACTTAAAGGAAATGATGATAATTGGAAGCCAGGAATGCTCAAAAGATAAAATGAAAAATGTATTTACATGGATAGATTGACAAATACATCTTTCAATTTTGTCAGTCTGAAGTTGACATTAGATATAGACAATCGTCTGCTCACCTGAAGGCAAAAGTAAACCCACCTGCCTTCATGTCTGTTTCCTGTTTAAGACCAGCATAAATATGAGATTTGAATTTTGGCATTGCTATAACTTTAAGACTATGCATGGCTTCTTCTACATAATGGTGCTTGTTTTATTTTTTACCGACAAAGTTATTAAAGGATAGCATGTTCTCATGCAACTTTAACTAGACTATTGTGCAAATGGCCTTAGGTTGTCTGTGGATTCAGCATTTAACATTTCTATGGCGTATATCATTGACACAATCAATTTTTGAATAATTGACCCACCTATAAAACCATCTGTTTCCCTCATGCTATTAATCTGAAACTTAATTAGCATTGAAAACTGTAGAAACATTTTCAGTTCCGACATGCTTGCTGATGTTTATGGCCTTTGTAAGACATTAAATGAAAACAATTGACAGCAGCACCTATTGTCTCTGGTATTCCTGTCACATTAAGAATTATTTATTTCCTGCATTAGGTCAGAAAGCAGAACAGAAGTGAAATCTAATATCTCTGAACTTTAGTTTTTCAAGGACTGAAAGGTTATTTGATGGATTAACATCTGCTTTGTAAATATCCTTTATCTTTATTAACCTACTAATAATTCATTTCACACATCTTTTAAGCATCTAGTATTGGATCTTCCATATTTTAAGACTAGTGTATGCAAAAGGATTCTGGGAAAATATCCTTGCTTTGGAGGATGTCTTCTAGCCCTCTTATCCCTCCGAGAGGGAAGGAGACTCTGCTGATGAACGGCAACTAGAGGTCTGAGGAAGCAGTGTTAGAGTGCCAAAAATCAGACAGAACCCACCAACTGGGAGTTCTGCATCAAACTTTCTATCATCTGATCTTTAGGATTCCTTTTTATATCTTCATCCTTATGCAAAAAGCCCATCTCACTTAGCATGGTCCTCTGAGTTTCAGAAGGTCCATTCCAGGGGTTTAAGAGGCTACTGATTGGATAATGGGGCAGGGATGTCTATTACAAAGCTTTTGTTTGTATTTAGACCAATACAAGTTTTGTAATACTGATAGAGGAGTTTATAAATCTATTTAGAAGAGATACTGCATTTGTCCATTTGAAGATTTAAGAAGAATTTGTTTACTTACTTACTTACTTACTTAGGCGATCCCTCGTTGGACGAGTAAGATGGTCTTCCATTATGGGTTTCCTTGTGAGTCCGTATGTGGCTTGCTCTGCATTCTTGCTCTGCATCTCTGAATCTGTTTAGATTATTTCAGAACAGGTTGCTTTACTAATAACTCATTCTTAAATTTATTAACCATTTTAATTGCAGTTAGGTAGCAATGTTGCTTTAGCCATCTTTAGCCATTTTTTAAATTGCTAGAATATCGAAATCTTAGTGTACAGTTGACTCTGATCTCTACAAGACAAGTATAGAGAAGGGCAAGGAGGTAACTTGGAAGTATTGAGTAGCACTGTGTTGCTTTTATATTTCTATCAGCCTTTTCCTTTCCCTTGTAATCTCCTCCCCATTTCAGATTACATTGCATGCCTTTGGCAGGCGTACCAGTTTTACACTTTTATTTTTATATGGCACTCCATCATCCAGTCAATCAATGAATCATAAATAGAGCATCAAGAAATTGGAGGAAGAAAGCAGAACAGAGACTGCATAGAACTATGTGTGAGATAGATATGAAACAGGAGAAGAATGTTATAGGCTTAGACTCCCCTCAAAATGAAGAGGAAGTAAAAAATGCATTAGTACTGTTCCACAAAATCTTTTGTCTACAGGATTTATTTTACCACAACATTGATTATACAACATTAAATTATAATTTGAGACATAATTAATGAAAATAGTCTGTGGTTTTAAAAAGGCACTTGTCTTTCACTAGATCATGTAGAAAAGAGGATCTGCCTCTGACCTGTCATGTCAGAATGGTATTTTCCAATAGAATGGAAAAGACTGTCTAGGAATCATAAAGAAGTTCAACAGAGGAATGCAGAGAAAGGGAGAAAAGGAAGGAGAAGTATCATAACAGGCTAAGAACCCCTTAGTGGTGAAAAAAATGCATTGGAAGCTCCCATGGGCCTAGAATCACATGACACTGTAGATCAGTGGTTCTCGACCTGTGGGTCCCCAGGTGTTTTGGCCTACAGCTCCCAGAAATCAGAGCCAGTTTACCAGCTGTTAGGATTTCTGGGAGTTGAAGGCCAAAACATCTGGGGACCCACAGGTTGAAAATCACTGCTCTAGATTCTTTGAGGTGAAGAGATACAGTGAGACATAAGAACAATGCTGAACCATGCTACTACTTTCTTGAACAAGTTTTTGTATGCCTTCAAGTTATTTCCAGATAATGGCATCCTTAAGGTGACCCAGTCAGAAAGTTTTGTTCAGAGGGTTTTCTTTGCATTTCTCTTAGTCAGACATCATGTGACTTGCCCAAGGTCACACAGGGGATTCCAACCCTGGTTTCTAGAGTAATTTTCCAGTGCTTAAACTGATATATCACACTGTCTTGTCTTTAAAGTATAAATTAATTTTCAGTCACACTTAGATAAAATAAATACTTCCTTTGGAGATCAAGTTAAATTTCTTTACAAAACAGCAAAGGAGACCCTACTTATAAATAATGGTTGATATAACTGTAGAATACTATGGACTTTATTGAATTATCATTTCCAAATAGGGTAGACCAAATGACTTAATTAAGGGTTGACTTTTCATGTTTTCATGCTTCATGGAATCTAGTTGGTTATTCACGTTACAGGCCTTCTTTTTCTCTAACAGTTGGACTTGGACTCTTGACACTTATTTATGAACAGGTCCTGTGTACTTACACCTTTAACATACTAGAATAAAAACAAGATAGAGCCCTCCTTGGGTCATGATTCTGCATGAGATCATACACATACATCTTTAAATCAGAATGGTTGAGCTGGGTTCAAAGTTGACCTTATATGAACAGCAGGAATATTTCTTGCCATGGAAAAGGGCTTAGATTCCAACAGAACCTTGCTTCAGTGATGATGGTTCAGGAGACAGTTATTTTCTGAATTCACACTGTAGTCCCTCATGTCATCTTCAAAACTGTTCTATAAGTTTCCCCGATCTTACCAGATTTTTTTCTCATGTGGCTGGAGTGGAGGGAGAACCTTGGTCCTTAAACACTCAATTCTTTGAGTGAAATTCTGGCTTCAGTCATTAATGCTAGTACTTTTACTGAGTAAGTGTTGCTCAGGTTACTTACAAAATGAAAGTGCTGTTTTTAGGGGTTTTTTTGCTTGCAATAAAACTACCGTGAGAGGTTTCTTTTTGTGATGTTGTTTTTTTACATTAAACAAAAGTTAGTTCTTTAACGAACCTAGTCATTTGAATTTCTTAGAATATTATGATTTGCAATTATTGAGTTCTAACATCTTCAGTAGCTTAACTCAAGTATTTATATAAAAATATTTATAAAAAGTCTGTTGTTAAATCCTTAATTGGGAGAGGTGTGTGGGCGCCTAGGGGTTTCTGTGATATTTTCCAATTTCTCCTCACTCCATGTAGGTCCTGTCTCTCACAGAGACTCGTTATATGTTTAAACAGCTTTCTCTAGGCATGGGAGATCCTCTTGAGAATGAATAGCTGCAAAAGGTAACTATCTCAGAATGTCACAAAGGGAGTCATGTTTGCAGCTATTTATTATTAAGAGGGTCTTCCATGCCTACAGGGACCCAGTTATACCTGATCTTGGAAACTAAGCCATCTTGTGGAAGTTGACCATAGAGTTGCATTGGAAGACCAGGAGATTTCTAGAGATATGGTCACTTGGGTTTTTTAAAAAATAGGTGATTTTAATTTACCCTGTTCCCATTTTCTCGGGTGTCTTACGCCCCTAATCCCCACAGAAGTGAGGGGCCTATTGTTCAATCCTCCAGATGAAGGTGCTTTTGGAAACTGTACAATACAGTTTAAGTACTAAGAAAATGTTAAGACTTAGAGATATGTCACAGCTTATAAGAGGCAAACAATTTTATGTAGATTTTATTTCAGAGGAGGCAGCAAATCCTTTTTAAAATGGCCTTTTCAAATATGCTTTGAACTTTTTAAGACTGCTGCCTGCTGCATTTGCTATATTTTTAGCCTATTAAACTAAATTTTCTGGCGTGTTTTCCTTATGGTTTACATATCACTCATCCTTTGTCACCCATTATTTTTCCAAATATCAGACAGTAAGAGTCCAGAGTCACACTCCCTAGAGAAAACAGACACTCTGTGTTGTCTAATTGCAGTATATGTCTGGCTTTTATGCCTTGCTGTACTTATATATCAAAGTATTTTAACCACAGACTAGAAAATCAATGTTCTAAAAGCGACTTATGTATTTCTAAATAGTATAACTTGTGTTTACTACATTCAAGATCTCACACTGTGTAATGCACCTCCCAGCTGTGCACAACTGTGTTTATCACATTATTAGGACATGCTGTGATGCTGCGCTCCTATACTTTAATGTATTATAAATTATATTACATGTCTATGAAGTAAATATTTACTGCTAAAACTGGGGAATATTTTCAAATATAATTAGTGGCTAATATTTGAAACCAAAGAAGGTTAATGCATAAAGGATGACCGCAGTTTTGATATTTGAATTAAAATATATTACTACATAACAAACCATTATGTTGTTTTTCTAACAGTGGCCGGACTGGAAAAATCAGAGTGCAATCTCTGAAGATTGGTTTGATGTCTCTTTCTAAGGGTCTTCTAGAGGAAAAATACAAATGTGAGTATATGTTTTATGGATAGCAAACTTTGCCTTTTTTCTTATAATTGTAGGCACACACCTTAAATATATATACCAGCAAAGCTTGTAACAATAATCTTGCTGCCAACAACATTTAAAGGAACATGAATGGGAGGTGAAATACAAGTAGATTCCAACACAAAGCATAAAATTTGCCAGTTATTTCTAGTTTGATTGGGATAAAGGGGCTGAAAACATTAATTGTTTTCTGCAGTTTTGGGTAATTAGCTCTTTGTTGTGATAAACAGCATAAATGGAACATGCATATGTTTAATTTACGGAACCAGCAAGCAATAAAAAGTGAGTCCATATCGACTGAGCAGGTGCATTTGTGGATAACACCACTGCAGAATTTTATATGCTAGTGTTAAAGCTAGTGACTTTACGGGCCCTCTTTTCTTTCATAATGTTTGAATTTGTGAATAAACTTGGGTGAAACATCCTGTCCATGTGTCATGCCCACAGCCATAATTGTCAGTGTCAAAAAGAATTGAAATGATTACTTGAGCACTCTCCTTAGAATCAAGGTGGTCAAAGTAAACCTATTGTACTAAGGTAGTAACACCCTTCTCCTCAGGACCATCTTAACTGAATTACAAGTCCCCAAGGCAATGGAATAAAATGTATATTATTAATAAAACAGACTTTCATTTATTGGTACCAAATAAAAATTAATTTTCTTCATTTCCTTACACTTCCTCTAATTTGTTACCACACATATACAATTCTTGGAATACAAACAGTAGAAGCTCTGTTTCTGATAATGGAAGTTCACACTATTGGCAATTGTTCTCTCCATTCATTAATTACTTCCTGTGAATCTGTTACAATATTTTAGTTCCATAACATTGTAAACAGTAAAAATGGTCATTTCCCCCCCACAAATTAGACATGCCAACCTTGGGCAACAAGGTGTAATTTTTCTCCTTCTACTAAGTTAGCAGGAGATTTGAATGTTGAGGTGGGTTATAGGAAAGGTAGCATTACATTCTGCTCTGTGCATAGATTAGCATGGGGCTCCTATCGTGGCTCCTCTGAGCAACTGCTCAGCGGGTCCATGCATTATGACAACATTGCTTCTACTTATAACTAGTTGTCACTCATATTTCCTTTCTCTGTGATAACTGGAGCTACACTATGAGAAATGTACCAAACTCTTTTATTCTTTTGCAGCACACGATAGAATCAAGACGTAACTCTATCTTCCACTTGTCAGGCAAGGGAGTCAAAACTCTGAATGGGAGGTTGTATTTCACCTCCCATTCATGTTCCTTTAAATGTTGTTGGTAGCAAGATTATTTATAAAAACTGAAATAATAATAATAATAATAACAATAACAATAACTAGAGAGATTTTCTTCTAATGGGCTAATATTGGTGTTCCTTTTTTGAACTCCATTATATTAGATAGAAAGATAGATAGATAGATAGACCGACGAATGATAGTCTGGGATCAGCTTTTTAGATAACATTTAAAATAATTATGTAAAATGCACACACAATTTTAAATTATTAATAATGTTGTGTATCTCTTTACTATAATGCTGTGGGTCTGTGGAATCGCTGAATAGGACAAAATGTGATTGCAAATTAAATATTATATTAATTTAAAAGCTTAAATTCATCTCAAACTTTTTGTTTCATTACTTGGAAACTGAAACTCACTGTGCCTTACCTCACCCTGCTTAGCAAAATTCTATTCTAATGGGTCCTATTATATTCAGCTGTCTTCTGAATTACATTACTTATGACTTGCTGAGCTTCAGCAAGTAATAAATAATGAGTTAATTCATGTTTCATATTCTCTGGTGTATTGGTTCACAAAGTAAACAGCATAAATTGTTGTTTTTATTATTCTGCATCGTACAGCTTTTTGGAAGGCTGCAAGCTTAAAGAATTGAACACTGATGTCCAAGGATCCACAAATTTTAGCTGGCTATGATGGGGCTATTTTTTGATCCTCCATAGACTTTGCAATGTAGGAGAAATGAAATCTTGTGTCTTAGTTCAATTACACAGGTTATTATTTGTCAGCAAGTTCAAACATTTAAAATGTTTGTTTTAATAGCCAATTTTTATTTATTACATTGGGAGAAAATGTGAATAAAGTGTCAAAACAAACCATTTCTTTCTTCACTTTAAGATTTTAGAAAGGAAAACCATAGATCTATTTAAGAAAAAAGCAAATCATATCATTTTTTCAGTCATGTAGTACCTTCTTGTAAGCAATAGGAAGTGGGTGATGGGCAAAAGTGAACACAAAACAGTATTTAATGCATGTATGAAAACACTATACAATTGCAGTTCAGTATTCCTAATGTGCCTAATGGGAATGAGAGAATTCGTGTTTGTTAGTTATACTGAAACAGTTGAAATGTTGAAGAAGTGCATGAGCACAAATTGTTGCTCTTATTTATTAATATTTATATTAGCACTCTGTCTTTGTTGTTGATATGCTCCTTCAAGTCTCCTCTGACTTATCATACGCATTTCTTGGCAAGATTTATTTAAAGGAGGTTTGCCATTGCCTTTTTTAAAAGGTGAAAGAGTCTTCTAAGACCTAGGCCAAACTCAACATGCTACACCACACTGACTCTGCAACCCTTTCTTTGTTTGTCATTAACTGCAGATCTTTTTAAGGAAGTAGCTGGGCCTACAGAGATGTGTGACCAGAGGCAGCTTGGCCTATTACTTCATGATGCTATCCAAATCCCACGGCAGCTTGGGGAAGTAGCTGCTTTTGGAGGCAGCAATATTGAACCCAGTGTCCGCAGCTGCTTTCAACAGGTAACTTGATCATACTTTTGGCTGCTTTGAGTAGGTGCTATTTCAAAATTTCTGTTTTAGGCCAGCTCCAGTGTTCATTGATGCATATTGTAAAGTGAAAAAGCTCAAAATACACATAAAGTATCATGCAAATAGCCGTGATTTTTATAAAGCCTATGCTTTTACTGTGAGCTATCACAAATGTGAATTGTTCTTGCACTTTAAAACATTCAATACAAAGTGCTTCCATCTTACATTTATTTTGTTCCTTATGCTTTTAAAGACTGCAGAATTTGCATGAAGCAGATCTAGAAGCAGGGGGAAATGATTGCCCATATTTCAATTTCAGATCTTGTTCTCGCTGACTGCAGAAACTTTTTCAAGGCATTTAAAACAAATATGTGAAAATGCGACCTGTACTGCTAGCATTATTACCACTACCACTTATGCCATGGAATGACAATCAGACTTTTGTAAATTCATTGTAAAGTTCTAAAGTAGACATGTATGCATTTTTGCTTAAATGCATTTATAAGCCTCAGTACAACAAGGAAGCCCAATAATGTAGGTTCCTTGATTAAGTGGAGAATTCTAAGCATGCACAAAAATTTGAGTTTTTCTTAGAATATGTGTCTATGTGTGTATATTTTACAATGAGCATCCTTCACATATTACATCTGAACGCGCAGTTGAAATCAGAGGACAAAATGATGTTCCGGTTTCCAAATACAGTTGCACCTTGAATCTAACTTGAATATTGACAACATAAAAATGTTTCCTGTAACATCTGAAGACTGCTGGCAACTTTAATATGTATGGGCCAGGCTGTATTCCAAGATGCAGGACCGTCTGGCAGCCAAGGGAGAATAATTGCCACTGCAATCCTCAGCCGGGCTGTGGAAAAGCCACTTTTTAAGACCATGGCAGCATGACTGTTTTGTTTGGGAGATTCTGGAAGAGATAATCTAAAAAATTTGCATTTCCAACACTCTGTCCCCACCACCTGCCAACTAAGGCAGTTACCTCATTCTGCCTTCTCCAGAAAAGTTCTGGCTGTGATAAACAGGCTTACTGTTTCACAAGTTCATATCAGTAAAAAAAAATATTATTGCAGGTGTGTTGGTTCACAGATAGAAAGTTTGCAGTATTTTTCATCTTTTACTGCATTGAATGTTAGTGGCAGAAGCATTTTCGTGGCTTGAATACTAGTGGTGATGAGTCTTAAGTGGGGAAAATCAGGATTGGTGCAGCTCTCTGAATGATTTTTGTTCTGATTTTTACTTATCAGAATAATAATAAACCAGAAATCGGTGTGAAACAATTCATAGACTGGATGCATCTGGAACCTCAATCCATGGTGTGGCTGCCTGTCCTACACAGAGTAGCAGCTGCAGAAACAGCAAAACATCAAGCCAAGTGCAACATCTGCAAGGAATGCCCAATTGTTGGCTTTAGGTAAGCAGAATAAAATATACTTTCTGTATAACCCCACTACAGATACCTTGTCAATATCTTCACTGACCAGTTGCCATTCGAGATGAGTCCTGCATTCCCCACCCTGTCTGTGTTCAGTGGTCTGCAGGTTGTAATTTTACTGGAGCACTGATCCAGAGGTGTTCTTATAGACTATGATGAAGGATTAACCATTTTTCCTTAATACATAATTATGTTCTATACACAATAAGTTTTTTAATATAACCTTAATTTACAAGAAATTTGAAATTAGAAAGGGGAAGTGTAGAAAAATAGGGGATGTGTAGTGTGTGGCCACAACCTCATCAGACATGGTGACAGGAGGCAGCAGTTTCTTCTTCAGCATGGGGAATCTGATGCTCCATGCCTTGCATCAACTGAATCCATAGGAGGGTAATCCCATGGGGAGAAGTGTGAGTGTGTATGGAGCACTTGGCTTCACTCCATAGAGTTAACGTCAACACAGGAAGCCCCCTGTGTTGTCATGGCACCGGGATGCTGGTTCTGCCCTCCTTCACCCATTGATTCAACATGATGTCATCTGATGGAGTTGGAATTAGCAACCTTCTTCAAGCCTTCACCAGTGATTTGTATATGATTTAGTTCGCTTACCATATTATATATGTATGTTTTGTTTACTCTGTGTTGTTTGAGGTTGTGGGAGGGACGGCAGACCATGTGATCAGATCTGGGACAATTCAGACTGAGACTCCATTTTATAAGTCAGTGTTCATTATGCATTAGACAAAAGACAGAGAAGAGACTGCAACGGAATGCCTTAGAGAACTTACTGTTTAAACTTTCAACTAATAAGCAATGTACCTGTATGCTGAATGCATGAAGTTTGTAAATAAACTATGTTATTTTTAATGAAGACTACTTATTTTAGTCTCTTGAAAGCATGATTTAAAACCAAATATATTTTATGGGAGAGTAGATGCTTTTGGGCAACTGAAATAACACTTATGAAGATCTGCTATATATTTTGTGCATTGGTATAATCTTTGTTCCTAACAGTTCAAAGAGATAACCAGGTATATCAGTCTAACAACTGAGAAACCTAATTTGCCTTGCATGACTACAAGTGGCTGTATATCACTAAAGAGAAGATTCATTCAAATGGGTTTTAGCTCTTCTCAGGAAGATCATACTTTACAAAATGATTACAATTTTCTAAATGGTAGTGAATGTCAATCTCCAAAAGGTAACACTTCCAAAAGGTTTGGAGATTTTGGTTTTCCAAAAGGTTATGAGCCCCCGGTGGCACAGTGGGTTAAATCACTGAGCTGCTGAACTTGCTGACCAAAAGGTCAGCAGTTTGAGCTCCCACTGTTAGCCCCAGCTTCTGCCAAAAGATGGGTGCCAGCTGGTTCCATGGGTGACCAGGGCTAGATCGGCATATGCTGCCACTTTTAGCCCTGTATGATTAGGTGATTAGTATAGTAAATTATTATCTTAATAAATAACAACAACAACAACTTTATTTGTATATCACCCTGTCTCCCTGAATGGACTCAGGGCAGTTTCTAACATATAAGGCAAAACATTCAATTGCCTAGAAGAAAATAAAAGCATCAAAGACAACAAAAATTCTAGTAGAACACAACAATAAAAGACCATGAAAATGAACAAAATCTGGCTACCAGTATTAAGAAACTCTAAAATTATAACAGCTAAACAACAGAGAGGAAAAAAACCAGGCACAGATTAACACCTCCCAGCAACAGATTTTCCCAGACTCAGGCAGGCCTTCAAATGCTAATGAAGGTGATCAGCTAAACATTCACACCTAACTGCAGCAGGGAAGAGCTCCTTGCCCCACCCCAGCCATTCCACAGATATATAAACCCATTTTTCCTACTTCCAACAGACCTTCTCAACCTCTGAGGATGCTTGCCATAGATGCAGGCGAAACGTCAGGAGAAATGCCTCTAGAACATGGCTCTATAGCCCGAAAAAACCCACAAGAACAACAATAAAAATTTAGACCAATCGCAATTATAACTCCATCAGATAAGGTTCAATGAATCCAATGGCTACTGCTACGAAATGGGCATGGTTAACTAAAAAAGAGTTGGGCAAGGGATAGTGCAAACAGTGTATCATAGGGCCGGGGAAGTGGACAAAGTGTGGAACAGAGTACTAACCGATGACCTAGGGACTTGGCCTGGGAGCTAATCTTTCTCGAATACTTGTGCTCAGACTCCTTCAGAGAACAAAAATGCCAAATTCAACTGAATGAATATCATTTTCACACGTTTTCAAAAATGTAAATATCAGTTTCAGAGGCACCGAAATAGTCATTGAATCCTAGGGAGTGAAGATAAAGATTTTAAACTTCTGTCATCTACTGTAATGTGAATTACATGATTTGATGAATTAAGGAAGTTTGAGCATAGTATATCTTGCCTCCTGATTGGTTATTGAACTTGACAAACATCTGTGCTCCAACTCACCCTGTTGTTAAATAACTAAATAGCATTTTAGATCAACTTTTTTGTGCCTCTGAAGTTTCCTAGTTGTTTCCTCTTTCTACTTAGTACATAAAGGTCTTTGCTTACAGTGAAGGCATTAGTCTGATTTTGGAATTGTGTTTTGAAGCAGTTGATGTGCTATAGAAATTAGGTGACATATTCACAGCTCTATTCTTATGAGCAAAGGAATGGCCCTTCTGATTCTACTTTGAATACATGGGTATCAAGTAATATACTCTGGCATTATTTTTTCCAATTCGATTGAAGTACTTTCAGGTAGTGAACTCAGTAGTCTATTGCCTGCAGGATTAACACTTACGTTATCATTCAACTGTTGTAAAAAAATCCATTCATTTTTAGATACAATCTGATAGGCTGCATCCTCTTATTTATTTATTTTTTGAATTCAGAAGGCATCCCAATCAGATTGTTTTTAAAATATTTTACCTGTTTCTGTTTATGGCAGAAAACAGACACAAAGAAAAGTGGAAAGTTCTTGAATATTTAGAATACAGAAGGAGCAGGGACATGGCTATTTTTGATTGCTATTCAGTGCCTTGTATTTTACTTCATCCGATCATAAAAGTGAATTATATGGCCAATATTATATAACAATGGAGATCATGCAAAACAGGCCTTTGCATAAAATATTGAGATTCAGTATCTCTTGATGCAACCTCCTAAATTATGAATACATATATATTCTTATGTCAGAAGACAAACCAACAGTGATCTACATTAATTTTAGCTATGAAATACACCACATGAGATGGAATTGAATAAAGCAATTACTCAGATTTAGAAAGCAATTGGTCTAGATTTCTGTCTTAGACAGTGCTATATATAAGGTGGTGATCTTTGCAAGCCTTTTTAGCATCTTTTGGTTGTAGATTCCTTCCCTGATTCCCAACTCTCTCTGGTTAGGGATAGTTGGGCTTTTTACATATTCATTCTGGCATTCATTAGAGTGGTTGCTTTCTGCTCTGTGTCCCATCTTGGGAGGGGGGGGACGGGACAGGTAGAGTTCCCTACCTCTTAGACTGAAGGATTGAGAGTCTTTGCATTTGTTGTTAATGTGTGCTCTGAACTGCTGAATATTTTAGCCCCTCCTTTCATAGCACCTGTTTTGATTTCTGAAACTAACTTTATTGCTATTTGTATACTTTAAGAATACAGTTATATAAATAACATCACATAGTTATAAAAAGAACAAGAACATCTTCTTGTTCACAAAATGAAGGGGTTTTAATGAAGTATTTTTTAAAGATCAAGTCAGAGGGTGTTGTGGTTTTAGCTTTGAATACTTTTTAATCACTTTTTAAGAATTTTAACTGTTTACTTTTTAAAATATAATAATAATAATAATAATAATAATAATAATAATAATTAGAAGAAGAAGAAGAAGAAGAAGTAAAAGACCTGGTTATGACTCACTAATGGAACACTGCAGAAGGAGACAGAAGTTCCGATTCTTGCAGCTCAAGAGCAAGCAATCAGAACAAATGCAATTAAGGACAGGATCAAAAAATCAACTGGTGACCCAAAATGCAGACTGTGCAAGGAAGCTGATGAAACCATAGATCATATCCTCAACTGATGTAAGAAAATTGCACAGACGGACTACAAACAGAGGCACAACTATTTGGCTCAAATGATTCATTGGAACTTATGTCACAAGTACCACCTGCCAGTAGTAAAGAATTGGTGGGATCATAGACCTGCAAAGGTAGTGGAAAATGAACATGCAGAAATACTGTGGGACTTTCAAATTAAGACTGATAATGTTTTTGAACACAATATACCAAACCTCAATATTGTGGAAAAGAAAAAAGTTTGTATTATTGATGTTGCCATACTAGGTGACTGTTGAAGTGACGAAAACAACAGGAAAAACTCAGCCGTTATCAGGACCTCAAAATTGAACTGCAAAGGCTCTGGCATAAACCAGTACAGGTGGTCCCAGTGGTAATCAGCACACTGGGTGCCGTGCCAAAAGATCTCAGCTGGCATTTGGAAACAATAAACATTGATAAAATCATGATCTGTCAACTGCAAAAGGCCACCTTACTTGGATCTGCGTGCATCATTCAAAAATATATCACACAGTCCTAAATGCTTCAGAAGTGTTTGACTTGTGATATTTTTAAATACAGAATCCAGGATATTTATCTTGTTTGCTGCGACACACTGTGTTTTTGTTTCAGTATAACAATAAGTATTAGACAATGAGTAATGTTTGCAGTGGTTGAAAACTTAATTCTGTTATTATATGACCAATAGTTATGGTTAAATAGTATTTAACTAATGTTGAAAATAGGGAACCCAAGAACCTAACAGAATACATTTTTTCTGATTCCAGTACTATGTATCTGTAATAGTGTAGTAAGTCATTGAGTGTCTCCATGGTGTCATGTTTTGAGTGCTAGATTATGGCTCTGGGGACCTAGATGTGAAAACCTGTTCAGACGTGGGAACTCACTGTGTGATCTTGGATAAGTCACACTCTTCCTGCCACAGAGGCAAAGGCAACCCCCCTCTGAACTAATATGGCCAAAGAAAATCTATGGTAGGATTGCTTTAGGGTTGGAAGAACAAAGAAATGACTTGAAAGCACACACAGTAACAAAGTAGGACATTTCTGTGTCATAATAAAATGTTGTCCTAGGTTTATTTTTTAAATAGGTTTATGGATCAATAAATAATTTTGTTAGCTGCCAGTCACTTCCTTTTGAGGTGTTTTTTGAGTTGCTTGATATATCCTAATGTTGCATTTGTGTGTAACTGCGGATTTGAAATCAATTATTCTACAGCCCACAGGGCTACCCTCCATTCTGAAGAGGGGACAAATGTTTGAGGGAGATTTTTAGAGAGTGTAGTTGCTTGCACAGTAAGGGAACTAACAACAATCATTCTCCGTTATTTTGCAAATGGCATTCTCTATTAGGTACGAAGCTTTCTACTTATGGGGTAAATCCTAGTTCAAGGGAAACATAGACAGCCCACTTTTATTTCAATTGTTATTCGTTTGTCTCCACGCTTTGGACACTAAATCACAAAAGTAAGGGGACTTCTTTCTATCCTGAATTTATTGGTCCAAACTGTGGAATCAACAATGTTATAAATATATGTACACCTTATTACAATGAAAGGAAAACTATACATGATCATTCTGCCCCCAATATTTCTTAGGCAGAGATTCCCAAAGTTTGATGCTTCAGATATGTTGGATTTTAGCTCCCAGAATCCCAGATCTTTGGTCAGGCTGGCTGGGATTTCTAAGAGCTGTCATCCTAGAGCACCAAAGTTTGAGAAACACTGCCTTAAGCTATTGCTATCATTTGTTAATGGTGGACAAAGGTCATCTTGAAAGGGGTGCTGTAAAATGATCTGTCTGATTTTGTAGGAACTTTCCAGCAGCAGTCTTTACAATTCATAATTATTTATGGGCTGCAGCAAATTCATTGGGTGGTTGCATTAGTAATCTTAATTTGTTTTTTAAAATTTAAACAAATGTGGTACTCCGATGCTATTAACAACACACCAAGTTAACTGAGATTATTTTCATGAACATGCCCACTTTAACAGGTTAGTTAATGTTAATGCTGTAATTTCCAAGATGTGCAAAGATACTTCACACAGTGTCACAGAGGTTCTGTTTTCCCCCAACACTATTTGACATTGAAATGGAACTGCTGAGAAAGGTAATCTGTAAGTTTAGGGAGAGAAGCCATTGATGTGTTTTGCCTTTCTTTATCTGAAGCAGAAGCTGTGGCCATTTATCTGAACTAGAGCTAGTTGACTTTCATGGATTGTTAGTGAAATGAAGGTGAATGAGGCAGAGGTTATGATCACTGACATGATGTCAACTCTAGATGAGAATACAATACCCAGGTGGTATTGATAGCTGAGAGGCATATTCTGTCAGCTATTCCTGATGGAGAAATAGGAATTGTTGCTGGATTAAAAATCTGGCCATTGTCAAACCTGTGTTGATAACCTCTTGCATTGATTACTAATGTGGATTCATTTGGGGAGCTTCTTTGAAATCCATCTAATTTGCTCACTGAAAAGGACAACAACACAAGTTTTGAATCGTTCAGAGTAATTTCTTATTTGTCTGTTGTATATGTTTCAAGGTGATGGTCATTGTCTGATCCAGATCCCTCTAAATACATTATTTCATTTGTTTGTGATTTTTATGTGCAAATGGGAAAAAAAATCAGATTGGCAAGAAGAACAAAGTATAAAATCATTTGTAGTGGCATGAAATTAAAATTGCCTTCTTGGATGGTTCTGCCTGAATTTCCATTCTTTTACTGCTTGAATGTTTTCAAGTTGTTTCTGACTTTTGGTCTCCCTAAGGCAACCTCATCACAGGGGTTGTTCAGAAAGTATTTGCCTTTGCTTCCTTCTGAGGCTGAGAGTGTGTGACCTGCCTAAATTCACCCAATGGGTTTCCATGAATGCTGGTCTCTAGAGACATAATCTAACACTCAGATCACTAGACCACATTGGTCAGAAACAGTGGAAAAGCTGACTTTGGACAAAAGTGTGATCCTGAGATTGTTTCACAGAGATTTGTTTTGGTAATGTTTATATTGTGTTTGTGTGAAGTGAGTTACTGCCTGAAAAAAGATAAATAAGGATATAAACATTTCCTCCATTGTGCTTTCCAGCATGTGCTGGATATGTGCACGGCTGTTCTCTCCTGTTCTATGACAAGTCTTCTTATAACTGTTATTTATAGACAGGAAAGAACAAACATAGCATGGTCTTGAAAATGCTTTCGACATTTACACCTACACTTTCATTTGCTCATTTTTCAAAAGAAATTCCTGAGATGTTTCTCTGGAAAAAAGTTCATGTGACAGTTACTTGAATTTAAACATCAATTACTATGCTTAAATATTCAGTCAGTGTGGTTTTATTCTTAATATATCTGTACATGTGACATTTTAACATGTTGCTTGGCAGGGACTCCTGGCTTTCGGGAAAAAATTGGTATGGGAGAAGAGGCATGAACACATGCATTTATCTGAGCTGAACACTTTGTATTTAAATTTGCTTATAATACTGTTGTAGGGCACCAGCAGTATCTAATGGTTTTAGTGTTGGGCTTTGACTCTGAAGGCAATAGTGCCAGATTTAGCACAAATGAGGCCGCTGTGCTATTTAAGTTATGGGACCCCTTACTGGGGCCCTGAAGGAGGTGGACCAAATAGGTCTAAACTGTCTGCTTTGTGGCATACTCCTATAGACTTTCAGCTCGTTAAGTCTGGAATTGCTCCAAAACAGAACACCTTCAAATGTGGAATGGCACCACATAAACAAAATCCATCGTAAAAAATATTTTTGGCAGGAAGAACCCCCCCCGGCTCAGTGAGACCCTGTGCTTATGAACATCTCAGCACAATGGTAAATCTGGCACTGGTTGGAATCCCTACCTAGCTGTGAAAACCACTGGGAAACACTCTCTCAGCCTCAGAGGGAGACACAATCAACCCTTTCTTAATGAATCTTGCCCAGAAAACCCTGTGATAGTCCCTTTAGTGTCACTTCAAGTCAGAAAGGACTTGAAGGCCCGCAACAGCAACAGTATTGCAATGACTTAACAATGTCATTTCATTACAGTTTGTGGTAATACTTTTTCTAACATGTTAAAGAAACTAGAGGAATAGTAGCAAACTACTTCTATTTATTGATCTATGTATTATGATGTTCATTGGGTTCATAGATATCGGAGCCTAAAACATTTCAACTATGATGTCTGCCAGAGCTGTTTCTTCTCTGGACGTACAGCAAAGGGTCACAAGTTGCATTACCCAATGGTGGAGTATTGCATACCAGTGAGTATTTTCTAATTCTTCCCTATGGATTGCTTCTGATTTATTTCGTACCTTCCTCTTCGTTCTTCTGCTTTATGAAAGTGACTGTTGTTTATTTGGGTTCAAATTTGATATAGGGAAGACAACTGAAATATAATGCCTTTTTAAAATTATTTTTTGTATTACACATTTACATTTACCCCCATAAAGTTCAAAATGACATAGACAGAGAAGTTCAGAGTTAGTGTGCTCTTCTTTATCACATGCTCTTTATTAACATCTGAATTTAGATAATATGTATAAAACATATTTTATTTGAATCCAGTATTTGTTATTAGAGTATCTTGAGTTAGACTTTCAGGATGTGCCTCTGTGTACAAAACTAACCCTTAGAGGTCTATTTCTTAAACATTGAAAGGTGATCCCTTTGCTTGTATACTGTAATATAGAGTGCATTCTACTTTCCAGTGTCACAACACATAATAATAAAATAAAACATCAGACACTAGAGATACCATATGCCACAATGGAACATGATAGGAGTTGTTGCATCAAATAAAATGAGTAAGCGTACCAGTTCAAGCTGTTTCTGATCACATTCAGTGACAACAATGGGTCTAGGTATATTCCCAAGCTATACACCTGAACTGTAATTTTCAGCTACCTTGTGTCCTGTGCAAGGTGAAAGTGGGGTATAAAATAGATAGACAAACAGGCAGTCAGACATTCTTGTTTCATTCTCTCACTGAAAATTGTTTGGATTGAAAGACATTTTGTCCTTTATCAGAAATTGTTTTGTCAAGTGAAAAGTACTGCAGTAGTTTCTATGTGGTTAGAGATTACCATTTTTATTGGGGTATTCCACCTTCCCTTCATCCATCTCTGATGGTAATATAGAAGACACCTCTTTAATTTGGTGTGGCAGCTGGGAAAGAATTAGGAAAGCTGAAAGGTGGATTAATAGCAGGAATGACAACATCCATTTTGAGATGCGCTCAAGTGCTAACTACATCAATTATTTGGACAGCTACATCAATTATTTTTTCTTCTTCTTTGGATTTGACCTGTACTATGACTTATGACAGAGGACAAAATAACGATGTTTTTGAGAACTGCAAAAATAAAAGCGTAACAACACATAAATGAATGAGGACCTAAGTTGAATAGGATGATAATATGAGAGGTTTTCTAACTGTCACTTCCTTCAGGAGTACCATTGTTGGATTTTGGCCAAGATGCCACAACAGAACAGTGGTAGCATTCAGGTGCACAAGAGAAATTGGGAACTGGTTAATCAAAATATGTTGGATTGCTGAGTGCAACACATTCTAAGAGCTTAAATAAATCAATATGGTTTCCTTTAAAGTTCCTTTTAGTGCTCAAAATGCTGGGGAAAGCTAGGTTAAATAAGGTCTCACACATATTAAAATTGTGAATTGTTCGGAACATGGCTAAGTTCAACAGAAATGACTGAGTTGCCTGGTAAGGATGCATTAAAAAGCCCTTTTCCAGTTTCAAGCCTTAACGTGAAATTATGGAATCTGAAAAAGGTCAGCTTCAGCACTTTTCAGTCTGTGGCTAGGAACAAATGGAGCAATAAGTCAAGCAAAGTGAAATGGATTTTGTCCGCGCAGCACCTTAAAAACCAATAAGCCAATCACAAATTCTTACTGAATTATTTGGAAACCATGCAAGGACAACAAACACAAACTACTGATAAATAGCTTCCATGCTGGTGTTTCATAAATTGCATTTTTAATGGACCTGCATTGGAATGGGTAAGCCAGGGCTAAATGACACTACAGTCAAGCTCTCTAAAGGTCATATACCCTCTGCCACAATATAAAATGTGTTCCTGTCTGTAGCATCATGATTTTGTTTTCTTCAGTGGAAACTCCTTTGCAATCTTTTCTTACTAGGATTGGAAATGTGTAACACTTCAGTTGTTGAGCTGTTTTTTCCTTCATCTGTTACCACAGACCATGCTTCCTAGGAGTGATGGGAATTATAGTCCAACAGCATTTTGAAGGCCACACATTTTCGACAATTCGAGTTCAGTTAAATTGTTCATCAGCATAAGCCAGTTACTCTTTATTTCAGCATTAATCTAGTATTATTGATAACTTTCTGCAGCAAAGGATCACCGCCTTGTCGGGGCACTGGAGCTTGAGCACCTCAATGATGTCATGAGCGAAACCGTGAAGGGCCACCCAAGACGGGACGGTTGTGGCAGAGAGGTCAGACCAAGCGTGATCCCTGGGGAAGGCAATGGCAAACCACTCCAGTATCCTTGCCAAGAAAACTAAATGGACCAGTACAACCAGAGATATGTCGGTATGCCATTGGAAGATGGGACTCCCAGGTCGGAAGATGGCCAAAATGCTACTGGGGAGGAGCAGAGGATAAGTTCAACTAGCCCCAGATGTGATGACGCAGCTAGCAAAAAGCCGAAAGGAAGGCTAGCGGCCGACGGTACTGGAGGTGAACGACGAATCCGATGCTCTAAAGATCAACACACCATAGGAACCTGGAATGTAAGATCTATGAGCCAGGGCAAATTGGCTGTTGTTATTGGTGAGATGTCAAGACTAAAGATAGACATTCTGGGGGTCAGCGAACTGAAATGGACTGGAATGGGCCACTTCACATCAGATGACCACCAGATCTACTACTGCGGACAAGAGGAACATCGAAGAAATGGAGTAGCCTTCATAATTAATAAGAAATTCGCTAAAGCGGTGCTTGGATACAACCCAAAAATGACAGAATGATCTCAATTCGAGTGCAAGGAAAGCCTTTCAACATTACAGTGATCCAAATATACGCCCCAACCACAGCTGCTGAAGAAGCAGAAGTAGATCAGTTCTATGAGGATCTGCAGGACCTACTGGATAATACACCAAAAAGAGACATTATTTTCATTGCAGGAGACTGGAATGCCAAGGTGGGAAGTCAAATGACAACAGGGATCACAGGCAAGCATGGTCTGGGAGAACAAAATGAAGCGGGACGCAGGCTGATAGAATTTTGCCAGGAAAACTCGCTGTGTATAACGAATACTCTCTTCCAACAACCTAAAAGACGGCTTTATACATGGACCTCACCAGATAGTCAACACCGAAATCAGATTGACTACATCCTTTGCAGCCAAAGGTGGCGGACATCCATCCAGTCGGTGAAAACAAGACCTGGGGCTGACTGTAGCTCAGATCACAAACTTCTTATTGCCAAATTTAGAATAAAACTAAAGAGATCAGGGAAAATACACAGACCAGTTAGATATGATCTCACTAACATTCCTAGCGAATATACAGTGGAAGTGAAGAACAGATTTGAAGGACTAGATTTAGTAAACAGAGTCCCAGAAGAACTATGGACAGAAGTCCGCGACATTGTTCAGGAGGCGGCAACAAAGTACGTCCCAAAGAAAAAGAAAACCAAGAAGGCAAAATTGTTGTCTGCTGAGACACTGGAAGTAGCCCAAGAAAGGAGGAAAGCAAAAGGAAACAGTGATAAGGGGAGATATGCCCAGTTAAATACGCAATTCCAGAGGTTAGCCAGAAGAGATAAGGAACTATTTTTAAATAAGCAATGCATGGAAGTGGAAGAAGACAACAGAATAGGAAGGACAAGAGACCTCTTCCAGACAATTAGAAACATTGGAGGTAAATTTCAGGCAAAAATTGGTATGATAAGAAACAAAGATGGCAGGGACCTAACAGAAACTGAAGAGATCAAGAGAAGGTGGCGAGACTATACAGAAGATCTGTATAGGAAGGATAATAATATTGAGGATAGTTATGACGGTGTGGTGAATGAATTAGAACCAGACATCCTGAGGAGTGAGGTTGAATGGGCCTTAAGAAGCATTGCTAACAACAAGGCAGCAGGAGACAACGGGATCCCAGCTGAACTGTTTAAAATCTTAAAAGATGATGCTGTCAAGGTGATGCATGCCATATGCCAGCAAATATGGAAAACACAAGAATGGCCATCAGACTGGAAAAAATCAACTTATATCCCCATACCAAAAAAGGGAAACGCGAAAGACTGCTCCAACTTCCGTACAGTGGCCCTTATTTCTCATGCCAGTAAGGTAATGCTCAAGATCCTGCAAGGAAGACTCCAGCAAGACATGGAGCGAGAGTTGCCAGATGTTCAAGCTGGGTTTAGAAAAGGCAGAGGAACGAGAGACCAGATTGCCAATATCCGCTGGATAATGGAGAAAGGCAGGGAGTTTCAGAAAAACATCTACTTCTGCTTCATTGACTATTCTAAAGCCTTTGACTGTGTGGATCATAATAAATTGTGGCAAGTTCTTGGGGATGGGCATCCCAAGCCACCTTGTCTCTCTCCTGAGGAATCTGTACAACGACCAAGTAGCAACAGTAAGAACTGACCACGGAACAACAGCCTGGTTCAAGATTGGGAAAGGCATACGGCAAGGCTGTATACTCTCACCCAACCTTTTTAACTTGTATGCAGAACACATCATGTGATGTGCGGGGCTTGATGAATGCAAAGCTGGGGTGAAAATTGCTGGAAGAAACATTAACAACCTCAGATATGCAGATGACACCACTCTGATGGCCGAAAGCGAGGATGAGCTGAGGAGCCTTCTAATCAAGGTGAAAGAAAGCGCAAAAGCCGGGTTGCAGCTAAACGTCAAAAAAACCAAGATTATGGCAACAAGAATGATTGACAACTGGACAATAGAGGGAGAAACGTGGAGGCCGTGACAGACTTTGTATTTCTAGGTGCAAAGATTACTGCAGATGCAGACTGTGGCCAGGAAATCAGAAGACGCTTACTTCTTGGGAGGAGAGCAATGTCCAGTCTCGATAAAATAGTGCAGAGTAGAGACATCAGACTGGCAACAAAGATCCGCCTAGTCAAAGCCATGGTATTCCCTGTAGTAACCTACGGATGTGATAGCTGGACCTTAGGGAAGGCTGAGCGAAGGAAGATCGATGCTTTTGAGCTGTGGTGTTGGAGGAAAGTTCTGAGAGTGCCTTGGACTGCGAGAAGATCCAACCAGTCCATCCTCCAGGAAATAAAGCCCGACTGCTCATTGGAGGGAAAGATACTAGAGACAAAGTTGAAGTACTTTGGCCACATCATGAGGAGACAGGAAAGCCTAGAGAAGACAATTATGCTGGGGAAAGTGGAAGGCAAAAGGAAGAGGGGCCGACCAAGGGCAAGATGGATGGATGGCATCCTTGAAGTGACTGGACTGACCTTGAAGGAGCTGGGGGTGGTACCCGCTGACAGGGAGCTCTGGCGTGGCTGGTCCATGAGGTCACGAAGAGTCGGAGACGACTGAACGAATGAACAACAACAACAACATTGATAACTTTGTTATGTGAATGAAAACAAAAGCTTTGATGAAGCACCCAGTTACTATTTTTAACAAGGTCGCAGTCATTATTTTGCCCCTGAATTTAGTCTAACTTGCCTAGACTTTCTTACCAGCCCTAAGTAGGAATGAATGGTTTTGGTTTGGATTACTTAGTGGAAAGTATTTCAAAGAATCGTAGAATCTTAGAGATGCAAGGGACTTCAAAGAACAGCTATCCATTCTCCTGCCATGCAGAAATACACACTAAAAGAAACACCTCCAATCCTTGTTTAAATACCTCTAAATGGGGAGTGCAGGTCCTTCCAAGGCAGTGGTTCTCAACCTGTGGGCCACAGCCCATCAGTGGGCCGCAAGAACAAAACTCCGGTCCGCAAACCTCCTTCCTCTTTATTTATTTTACAGTATTTTATTTCCACTCCTTTCCATATATCTAACCAGCCCCGCTCCTTTTGGAGAGTGGTTCCTGGTCAAAGTGGTCCCCGGTCAAGTTGTCTCGATTCAAGTGGGTCCTGTCAAGTAGGCTGTGGTCAAACTGGGCCCTGGTCAAATGGACCCTGGTCAAAAAAGGTTGGGAACCACTGCTCCAAGGAAATGTGTTCTGAGGTCAAACAGCTCTTAATATAAAACAAGTCAAAAGTTAGATTAGCTCTCAGTTGAGATCTAAATTAATAGAAAGTCCTCAGATCATGAGGTTTTGACTATATGACAAGAAGTTTGCAATCTACTGAAATGACAGTACCTATTTTGTTAGAAAGGCACAAGAGCGTGTAGGCATAATCCAAAGATTAACTGTGCAACCTTGTAAACAAATAAATAAAAACTAACAAAAACATTTTATGTTAGTCAAGTTTCTCTCTCCTTCTGACATAGTTATACATTTCCTTTAGTTTTTGAAAAAACTTATTTTGATAATAAATTGGGTCCTTAAAAGGGGGATAATTTATTTTGATAATAACCTGGTAGTTTGTGGATCTGATTACTATCATTATGCCTGGTTAAAGAAATATTGGCAATGGTATAACTGAAAAACTTGACCAAACTGCTCATCCTGAGAAATTCTAGGTGAGCTGATGGCCTGGACTCACTGACTGTCTCTCTCTGGCTGGTTCTACATTGCCATATAATGCGCTTTGAACTGTTTTTTATGGTGAATGCAGAACCAGTGCCACTTTCTGTCAGGCTATATTGTGTAGTCCCTCCATTTGAAGAAAGTCTTCTATTAGATGATATTCTCTGTCTGAAGAGCTATCTGGTGCAAGTGTGGTATAAACATAATCATATGAAGGGTCTTGAAATTGCCTCTCTGCACTTTGCATTGCATTGAATAGCATACTGGACACACACCAGTCACCTGGTGCAGAGTTATCCACTGCACTGAGATGCACTGCATTCTTTTTTAAGCCACCATAATTATTTCTATATTTGCATCTAAATGTAATCATGCATATTTCATGCAAATCTGTACCTTCCCTTGACATCTTTCTTAGAATGTATGTTGTTACATTTTTCTTTGATTCCATATCACTAATGACATTGTTAGAAGAGTCTCCCAACTCAGAGAGAAGCCAGTTTGTACCATTACTCCTTCAGATTTACATGCCCCTGTCTACTGTGTTGCCTTTGCTTGCATGCGTGTTAAAGTATTTCGTTTAACTGACAAACTAAGCACACTGTACAGCTATTAAATGAAAGTTTGGATGGATGGATTAAGTAACATGAATATTGTATTATTCTGTTTTGTTTTTATGGCATTGAATTGTAGCTGTCTTATGTTGCATTCCTCTAGTCAGGATCAGCTGACCTTTAGGCAAAAAATTCTTCAGTTGTATCAAAAAAGAAGTACTTTGATGTATTAAAATACCCTGTAATGTTTGTGATTAAATTATCTTTCCCTTTGGACATAATTTGATGGCTTTAAGGTTTTTGCCAGTTCAAGACTTCGTTATAAGGCACTTTGTTAAATTGAAGAATATATATAGTATAGATTGCCACCTAATTTAAGAGCTGCTGAGCTTTTAAGATAAGTCACAGAATAAAAAAGGACTTTTTATGCTCACTTTTTTAACTATCTTGTTATTTTGTTTTCAGGATTCAATGCTCATTTTACTGATTTGAAGTTTATATAATTTGTATTGTGATACTAGCTGTACATAACAGTGTACAGGTACCCAAAGTTATGAATATTTAATTTGTATTCTCTGCATTTTTATTTACCTAGACAACATCAGGAGAGGATGTACGTGATTTTACGAAAGTGTTAAAGAACAAATTTCGGTCAAAGAAGTATTTTGCCAAGCACCCACGGCTTGGCTACCTACCTGTGCAAACAGTCCTAGAAGGTGACAATTTGGAAACGTAAGTTTTGAATATAAACCAGTACTATTCCGTCTACAATTTTCTACCATGCGGCTATTTTAATAGCAGAAGCAGCAGTAAGAACTACTTTTGATGCATATTGATACTACAGAATGGCCTGGATAGTAGAAGTAATGCAAGATTTGTAAGTGGAATGCAAGCAAAATGAAATACATAGTTGATAAAGAAACCAAGATGAATGCACAGATACTTAATTCTTGACTGTCCTGATTAGAACAGGTGCTATAAGTGCTATAGTGCAGCAACTTATGGCTGATCACAAGTCACCCAACTATGCTCTAGATCAGAGCTTTCCAAACATTTCATGTTGGTGATCCACATTTTTAGACATACATCATTTTGCAACATGGTAATTAAGTTTTAATAGCAAACGAGAGGTTAGATCAACACTTATAAGAAATATGGAAACATACATAAATTTTAATAGTAAAATGTCTGGGAACATAAAGTATTTCATGAAAATCTTTAATTTATTTATTTATTTATTTATTTGGTACACTTGTATACCGCTAATTTCTCAGCCTGGATCGGCGACTCAATTGCGGTTTACAGCAAATTAAAAACAATCTCCAATTTAAAACATATACACATACAATAACAAATTATTGGGCCACCAATAATAATCCCATATGTCTCGAGTTGAAATCACAGTCCAGAGATCGTTGTCCATATTTTCTGTCCATAGTCACCAAGAATCGATTGCCACAGATTAGCCGAATGCTAGTTTGAACAGCCATGTTTTTAGTCTCTTCCTAAACACCATCAGTGAAGAGGCTGATCGTACCTCTATAGGGAGGGTGTTCCAAAGCCGGGGGGCCACCACAGAGAAGGCCCTGTCTCTCGTTCCCGCCAGCCGCAATTTATATACAGTGATTCCTTGACTTATGAGTTTAATTCATTATCTGACTGAGCTCTTAACTCAAATTGCTCTTATGTCAAATCAGATTTCCCCATTGAAATGCTGTTAATCCGTTCTAGCCCCCAAAAAGCCACACCCATTTTGTTACGTGTTTTTAAATAAGAAAAATGTACTTTATAAATAACAAATAATGTATATAATACTACATAATAATGTAAATAAATAAATTTACCTATGTTCATTAGGATAAAGGTTTACTAAAGATAGACTCCTGGCCCCTTGGCTTTCCTACAATCTTACAAAGCCCTGGAATTGCAGAAATAACTGCAAGGACAAGAACAAGGAGCTTTCCTGGCTGCTCCCTTAAAGCCCTGCTTAAGATGACAGGTGATGTTCTCTTGCTCTAGCGCTAGCTCTTAACTCATATGTCAAAGCAAAAAAAACAACCAAGCGATGACTTGTATCTCAAAAAACACAAATTGGTTAGCTTGTAAGTCAAGGCTTCACTGTATGTGTATTTTTAAAATATGTTTTGTTGCTTATTTCACATAGACTGAAATATAGACTCATTGCGTTCATGTGACACACTAATGTGTTGTGACACACAGTTTGGAAAACTCTGCTCTAGACATTCTTGGATTGTATTTACTTGCAGCCAGCATAGCCAATGAGAAGTGAAGTCTACCAATAGCTGGAGGGCTTCACTGGCCCACACCTGTTTTAAACTGTATTATGTGCTAGCAATTTAATTATATCTATAAGGATGCATAACTCATACCTGTGATTAAATTTGATTAAAGCCAATTTGACTTACTTCTGAGCAGACAAGGAAAGCATTGCTGTTTAAATTATTACCACTGGAATTATTCACACAGCATAGTGCAGTGCTTTTATTATTGAGCTATAACTCTTGAGGCCAGGGTTTGAATCCCTGCTCTGCTATGGAAATCCTATGGGTGACCTTGGACAAGTCATAATCTCTCAGTCTTAGGAAAGGGAAGGCAACCCCCCTCTGAACAATCCTTGCAAAGAAAACCCCATGATAGCTGTGCTGCAACTATTCACATATACATGACAGAAATATCAAAACTGAACAATGCATCCAAATACTGGAAGCAAGTTAAATTTTTCAAGGTTAACAGGTTTAATTTTTTTTTAATGATGATAAGATGTAATTTTAAGATAGTTGCTGGTTTTCTTTGCTTTCCAAAGATAGCTTCCATCTCCAACACATTAGACAGTTTGCTTCCATTATGATTCAAGGGATATTTTGTCCCTTTCACAAAATTATTTCTAAAGCGGGGTACTTTTGAAGGAGTCATTGTCTGAACTTCATGCTTTTTAACTGCACAAATTGCACCATTCTGCTTTATTTTTGTTCTCTCTCTCTCAATTTGCAGTCCAATCACACTTATTAGTATGTGGCCAGAACAATATGAGTGAGTATTATATTTTTTCTTAGAAAAATAGAGGGTTTAGTCCTCAAAGTACTATTTTGTATGTTCTATTGATGGGGTTTTTTTCATGTGTATAACTGGGTTCCTAAGCATCCCCTATTCATTGTTATGCAAAAGCCAGTGATAAAGTTCCCAAAGGATTGCACCCTAAATCATTTAATAGTTTTCTTAACTTTTAAATTATACTCATGGACTCCTGAGCTAGTTTACAGCTGGATGCCTTTTCAAAAATAATATTGTATTTTGAATATTATTAAATATTTCTTTCTTTCTATAACACCACAAATTGAATAATCGTTTTTCTTTCATTGCTTTCTTCAATAGTCCATCCCAATCTCCCCAACTATTTCATGATGACACCCATTCCAGGATAGAACAGTATGCTAGCAGGTAAGAAATAAAAGAAAAGTACATTTAAAATATAATGGGATAAAAGTATATTTCTAAGAATGTGTTCTAAAAATCTTCTTGGAAATTAATGTTGACAGTAAGGTTATGTTTAATGAAAGTGATAATTGATACGTGGAGCTACAACCGGTTTTGCGGAGATGATAAATAAAAATGACGATGGTGATGTTGTTGACTGGCCTGTGGAATATTTCTCAGCAATATAGCCTTATGATATTTGTATCTCTCTTTTGTACTCAAATCAGTATATATAGCATCTCACATCAACACCACTATCCAAATAAGAGAGATTTAAAAAGGAGGAAACCAGGCAATGCAAGAAACATCATAGTTGCAACCACATATTAATTAGTCTGTTGATTTCAAATACCCAACATTGAATGTTTGCCATCTTTGTTTTTGGAAGTCGCCCTGAGTTCCTTTGTGGGAGAGAGGGTGGGTTAAAAATAAAGTATTATTATTATTATTATTATTATTATTATTATTATTCCCTTCGAAGAAAGCTCTCTTCTCTGTCCCCTGAAAACTAATGGAAACAAAACCAAGAGATACATTCAAGGCAATCCTTTCTTGAGAATGGCTTTCACAAAATACAGTCAGTAAAAAGCCCTGTTCTTTTTATTTATGGTGAACCTGGGATAGAGCTGAATTTCTGAAGATTCTCTGAGTATTTGGCTGAGTTCATATAGGAAGAAGACAAGACAGATCTTCACTCTGATATGCCCATTCTTAATATAATTACATGTATGATTTTCATAAACTGACTTACACCTTGACACTCTTACCCTTTTCTTGTTCCTAAAATAAATAGTCACGTGAAATGGAAGTATCTTATTTCCTTGCATATTCGTTGCCATCGCATAATAGTCATACTCATCCTGGGGAGGGGGGCAGTTTGGGGATTTAACCATTTTTTATCATCATAGACACATCTCTGCCCCTTGGAACAGTCTACTGAGCTGTGAGGGGCAGGTGCGAGAAGTGAGAGGCTTCCCTTTGCTGCCGCCAGCTGATGAAGGCTTCCTAACTCTCCCCATAATTACTGCAGTTGCTTCAACTAAAATTGATGTAGAACTTGCCTTTTTTCTTACTTGAATTCCTCTTTCTCTTTTTAGACTAGCCCAGATGGAACGGACCAATGGTTCTTTGTTCACAGATGGTAGCTCCACCACAGGAAGTGTGTAAGTAGATTAAGGAAGTATAATTGCCAGAAAATGTAAACACATTTGATTATCACTGTCTGATAAATTCATCTTCAATTGCTATGAATGTTAGCTTCTAGCAAATGTGTAATAATGATATCTTCCTAGTGACCTACACTAATACTACTTTGTCATAGTCATGTAAGTTCATTCTGTAAATTACATATGATAATATGTAATATAATACCTAGTATTATTTCCATTCAGATTTGTACTCTAAACTTTTGCTATTTGGATAGCTGATGCAATTTTTTTCTCTTTGTGGGTAGCGATTCTTGTTTCACAGAAAAGTAGTTTATAAAAAGCCATAGCATAGGTTCTTACCAATGCACACAGTTAGCTTTATTGGCAATTTAAACAATCTCCTTTTTATTCTTCTCATGTATATGTAGTCACTGACTAGGCACCAATAACATATTAAAGTTGTGGTTTGTATATCTAGTGAATTTGAGGGATGAGGATAACTAAATCATAATTTTTGGAACTGATTTGTTTCAAATAATATAATTCTAGAAAAGAATCATCCAAATGTTGCGGGGGGGGGGGGGTTGGCAGAAAATTAAATAAATGACAAGTTTGTATGAACATATTTGGATCGCCACAAATATTCAGAGGTGTTGATAACATTAAAAAACTTTAAAACTAACTTTTGTTAATTGGCCAGGGGAAAAAAATCTAGAATGTTGGCCATCGCAGCTTTTTGGAAGGCATTTCTTTACTTGGTTTATCTGTTTATCATCTTGCCAAGCAAAATCCCATCTGAAGAGGCTTTGATGTACTTCGGCAGATAATTACCAAGTTCGACTTTAAGTCCTCAAATTTCCTTTCATTGGAAAATCTGCCATGTAAGGTTGGAAGTTAAATGTTAACAAATAAATTACTACTACAATTCTGTTCCCTTGACCTTTTGTTTTTGAATCAACTTGATAAGTATCATGGTCTAAAGGACTAGCTTTGAATGACAATAGGGCAATGTCAACAGTTGGGTAAAATCAGAAACTAGTTGGCAACAGGGTAGTAAAGAAAATGAAAGTGTTGAAAGAATTGTTTTGAGCAGTGTTTAACCCTTTATTGATTATTAAACCATAGCTTAAGTTTACATCATGTAAATTTAATTTTTGTACACTTCTTAAATTAATTCTTACACAAAATTCTGAAGTTCAGTTCTCTTTCTCATCCCTCTTCAGTCTTAATCATAATATATCATTAAGAATATGGAGTAATAGTCAGGATTAATACTAATCTAGGTTTCCTTCTAACAGTGTTTTGCAAAGTAGCTTCTTACGGTACTGTTCCATTATCCAGGCAGAGGTCACTAAGAAGCACTAGAGAAAGAAGAATAGTCCATTTTACGGAGTTCCTCCTCCCTTTCCCATATCATAAAGGAGGGTTGTTCCACAATGGGGACATGGGTGGGGGGAATAACAGGAAAACAGGGGGAAATGGTTTTACACCCCTTCAGCCAACCCTCCACCTCCATAAAGTGGACTGTCGTTTTCTCTCTAGCACCCCCTTGTGGCCTCCGCTCATATAATAGAACAATACCCTTCCTACTTTATTTTTAGGTAAAGCATGGTTAACATGCGTACACCTGTAACAGGTAAACTATTATTGTGGCCAGTAGTGAAAAGAAGACTTTTATCCAGATAAAAGGTATTAAGACACACACCTGCTTGAGAGAGCTTAACCACTGTTAAAAAATAATGAAATTATTTATTTATTGATTGATTTATTGATTTATTGTTCTTATACCCCGCTACCATCTCCTGCAGGACTCGGTGCGGCTTACAAGAGGCCAAGCCTCACAACATAACAAAACAATCACAACAAAACAATAAATAACTTAGAAAAGCAAAAACAATACAGTAATAACGCAACACATTTTTAAAACATGAGGCAGGGCCAAATGTGAACATTTAAAGTTAAAAAGCTGGGGAGTTCAAGGAAGATAGGAGGAGTGTTTTGGGATAGGTAAACGTGCAGACAATTCATAAGGTGCATTAAGGACATATTGCTTAGGATTCCTTATTCTGGGAAGGCACACTGGAACATCCACATTTTCAAGCTCCTTCTAAAGACTGCCAGTAATATGAATAATGAATTTGGATAAATAGTACCTGGGTTCAGAGTCTTACAACATATGCAATAATTATGACAAAAAGGATAAAAAGATTGTTTCCACACCAAAGAAATTTAAAGACAGAGAGCAATTTTTTATTTTCCTGGCCTATTACTTTCACTTTGTTTTCATGTGCAAAAAGAAGGTGAGACAGTACAAAGACATGATAATGAAGCTTTTATGTATTTACTTCCCTTACTTTGTTTCAGGAAACTCAGTAAAGCAACTGTATTTCTTAGATAATTGCTGTTACTTATGTTGGAGATGGTGGAGCAATTATATTCATGTTTAAGCTTTTAAAAATAACAAAGTACTGTGTGAGTGAGCATTTTATTTGTTTATGGTAATATATGCTTCCTCTTATTTAGCAATGTAGCATGAATAATGTTTTCAGCACAAGGTAAAACTAGTAAATGCACTTTTCCATGTCGGCATATAAGTATCGTGTCCTCATAGCAATAATGTACGCGCAAGAACAAGGTTAAAAGGAGCAAGATTTTTATGTAGGGCAAAGCCTTTCCTTAGAAATATTCCTCCTTTCTGGATCATTTAACGCTTGTCAGAATTAATGTGGGAAATGGGGAATCTATGAAAATACCTGGACTCTTCAGTGAAGGAGAAGATTTGTACTTTCTGAAGTTATAAAATTGCCAAGGTGATTTGAAGGCAGTGTATTATTAATTTGTTTATTTAACCTCCCAATAATATCAGTTAGAGAACTTCACTTGTGGTACACAAATAATGGATACACACCACTGAAAATGTCCATTCTCTCTTAGCTATCTGCCTTTATCTTGTTTGGTGACAATACTTAAAGAAGGGTCTGGCATGAGCTTGGGTCCAGATTGGTGGACATGCTTCTTCAATTAACCTGATTATAAGCCATTTGGAGTTAAGCAAGATCTTTGAATTCAGTACAGTGCAGTGCAGATGGTAAAGCCATCCTTAATGTTCCATCCGGCTGTGGAACACTCTCCCTGCACACATCAGACAGGCGCCCTCCCTCATGTCCTTTCGGAAAAGCCTCAAGACATGGCTTTTCGAGAGGGCATTTAATTAATCTAGTGCTAATAATATGGTTATGAGAACTGGAATGGAACTAGGAATATGAGACCGGCTATGATTCCACTAAGAGGCGAAGCGGATTTTAGTGTAGTCTGTAGTTGTCGTATAGTCTGTATGTTGTGAAACTGACTTTTGTAATTGTCTTTTATGTGTACTGTACACCGCCATGAGTCGCCCGTACGGCTGAGAATGGCGGTTAATAAGTGCATCAAATAAATAAATAAATAAATAAATAAATAATTGGATATTTTATTTATTTAGTATGCCCCCTTTCTCCCCAGGTGGCTTTTAGGGACAGTCAATAGGTTTACAATAAACCTGTTGCAGGTTTTTACAGTAAATGGCACATAAATCAACAGAAAGCATGATTAAACTGTTGTTACTTTCTAATAAAGAACCAGCATGATACAGTGGTTTAAATACTAGATTGCAACTATGGAGACCAGGTTTCTAATTCTTACTCAGCCAAGGAACCCACTGGATGACCTTGGACAAGTCACTCTCTGTTGGCTTCAAAGGAAGCCAATGGCAAACTCCCTCTGAACAAATCTTTTTAGTAAAATCCTGTCATAGGGTCACCTTACAAAAACTACATGAAGGCACAGAATGATATGTATACAATTTGTACATTTATATAGAGTTTAAAAAATGAAATCCAATTCTCTTTAGGTCTTAAAGTCTTTTAAGTGGTATCTATGTCAGGTGCATCTCTTAGGAAAAGAGGTCAAAGGGCAAGAATAGCTTTGATTTAGAGAACACTTTACAACACCCATCTCTGTTGTAAGTGTGTTCTGATTTCTGTTGACCTTCATCTATAGTATGACAATGTTGTCGTTAGCTAAAATAACCTTACAGTCTTGGGCAAATAATAACTATTGTGCTAAGATTGATACATAGGTTCTGTCTCCTTAACTGCTTTGGAGCTGGATTTTCAACATCTTTTTCATTTAGTGCCTGAGGCTTTTCTCATGGCTTCTTGTCCTTTATTCAGGCATGAATCATGTGTCCAGCATGGAAGCATTCAACTCGGATTGCTGTGCAACTAATAGATCTATCTTAAATTGGTGGCATGTGAGCTGACACAATGTTCTTCTTTTCAGACCAATCAGTTGGAAAAGCAGATGAGAAGTGGTAAAAAAAGTCCACAAGAAGGCTACATTTTTTTCTATAAATAGCTTTTTTTTTGTCAGGTGATTCTTCAGTGAAGAACAACATTATCAGTTGCAAAGCATGTTGCTTATAATAGACAAATCAATAAACCTCCTCTTTGTTCTCTTCTACACTTCTAAGTTTGAAACAGTGCACTGCACAATTTGCCATTGTGTGTGGTGTTGGCACTTACTTATCACAATCTTATGCTTGTCACTAGCAAAGTTGTCAGGCGAATGAAGGGTTTGACTTAAGTTTGTATTTGAGTACTTTATTCTTTGGAGACCCAAAATGACTCTGAAGACATAGAAGATTGTTCTGTATATGTGCTGAATAAGCAGGTCCCAACTTTGAGAAACAAGCTTTGTTGAAAGAAAGTAAAAGAGAGAGAGATAAATATTCGTTTCAATTGTTGTGTTTAATATATGAAACTGAAATTTGAACATACAACTGCCTTTTTTGGTTTTGAATTATAATAAATTTAGAATAACCATAATCCAAAATGATACATGCTCCTGAACTTTCCTATCAGCATCAAGGTGCCTCCTGTTCTTAAAAATAATGTTGCCTTTGATTATGATGCTCAAAAGCAGTCACTGAACCCTATAATTTAAAGAGATTTAGACTTTTTATTTTTAGCAAACGTGATGACTATAATCAGATTCTTCAATTTAGTTTAAAATTATTTTCCTACACTTCGTATTCAGCTGGCAGCTCTATCTCAGGTTGCTAGTGGCTCAGGCATGCCATGTATTTCTGAGAAATAATACTTGCTTTGATTAACTTTATAGTGCCATAAAATTGAAACTTGCATTAAAGCTTTCATGGCTAAGAAGTTACAGTTGATGATGATCTAGTGTCAAAGCTGCCTCTGGCTATAACTAAATGAAGACAGATGACAGAAAGGATGCATGTTTGGACTAACAATGGGTGCATGTCTCTGTGTGTATCTGTACAGTATATGCACACACACACTCACTAATCAAAAAAGCTGCAGCTCTGCCTTTGCTTTCTTTCCCAGAAGGGTCCTCCATCCCTTCCCACCCCCACCCCCCTCGTGCCTGCTTGAGGAAAATGAGAACTTGCTTTCCCAGGAGTACTTTGTGCAGCACAAGCATTGAAGAAGACTTGTGTCCCTCCTGGGGCATGGTAGGAGTTGAGGTTTATCTCTGTCTGTTTCTCACTTTCTTTCACAGCCAGAGGACTGGCTAACTGTGTCCATTCATCTCCCTTCTTGTGGCATGTGCTTGGGACTTCAATTTCCAGAATCCCTTCTTGTGGGTTTTTTTTAATGTTATGGTAAAAACTTTGAAAATGTCAAAAAGAATAGTGGATTGGTGAAATGTTCTGAAATTTGGTGTGTTTGCTCTAGAAGATGTGGCTTATAAGTGAGGTGAGTTTCATGCTGATAAGCCTAAAGTTAATCAAAGCAAGTATTATTTCTAAAGTTTCCCCTTTGGCGCCAATGGACCAAATCTTTCCAGCATGAAAAGAAACCCCTCTTGAATTTGGGAAGTTCCCTAAAAATAAAATGGGGGGCAGACAAAAACCAGACACTGAAAATGGCACAGGTTTTGCCAAACTGCACACCCCTAGTGGTTACTGTGGTTTGTATCCTATCAAGGCATTGGGGAGCTTTTTCTTTTTAAAAAATTACAGATTGAGGACTGGCGATTATAGTCTGGAGGGCAGTGTGGTTGGACCCCATGTTTTGCTAATAATGACCAACTCCCCAGCAAGAGTGGCCTCTTTTTTTAAAAAAAGGTTAAATATTTCATTAGGCTATGGAACCTATTTGAAAAGTAAATTACCCCTCTTTGCATGTGCCCGGGAACTTGAGGAAGGTCAGTGACTGCAGAATCCATCTGGGCTACACTCTGCCTACCACTGTAATAGTACCTGAATGACTTTTCAAAGCAAGGAAGGGCTTCTGTGGACTTAACTTCCCACCTCTATGACTCTTTTAGCAAAAGCTTTTCTCCATATGTGTCTGAATTTTTGTATACAAAATTATTATTGTAAAGTAATTGTTTTGAGGATAATTACACCTCATTAAAGAAAATAATATTTTCTCTTATCCTGATCTCTCTTGGATTATAGTTGTGTGGCTTCACCCACACATTTGACGCTCTGGAAGCTGTTTATTCTGCAGGAAACTTTGTGTAGTACCAACTGTGATTTATACTGAATGGCTTAATCTGTGTGTGGTGGCTATGTAGATTGTCATACTGTGTAGTTGGAGGGCAGAATACTCTTGATAACTAAGTTCTTCTAACTATTATTGACATTCCTAATGTATGATCCTCTCATTTCTGTAGTTGCCTGCCACTAGGAATGCCCCCTCCTTTTATATGCCTGTTTCTTTTTAAAGTATAATCTAAAAATATTTTCTTTCTCCAGTTTTACACTGTTTGCATATTTTTGTTATTATTTAATTTTTCAAAGGTTCTTGAGTTAGTTACAATGAAAAATTTGCTATGCAGGAATCAACAGTTTAACTGAGTAAACAGATGGCCAAAGAACAGACTGTGGAGAGAATGATTGCAAGTGTTTTTGAAAGGTTCATCTGCTGTTGTTGTTTAGTTGCAAATAAAAGAATTAATTTGCTTGGGTTCAGATCCTTGCTAAATAAACATCCAACCACCCCAAACATTGTGGGAATTTATTTATTTATTATTTTGGACATTTGTATCTCGTCCTATCTCGACCTCCGCAGAAGGACTCAAGGTGGCTAACAGTGGGAATCTGTACTTAATTATTCAAGGCAACCTCCATAGAAGTGTAAACTGGGCCAAAGTAAAAAAAAAGTAAAGGCAACAATTGAGAATAATTTTTTTTCTTCAAGCAATCTTACAGCTATCCCACAAGATGTGTAAACTCAGGAAGGCTTCATTCTAAATGTATTCTGAAACAATTTATAGCAATGTTCATTCTTGTGAAAGTTATTTATGCTAGTTCCCTTTATCTCTAGCGAGGATGAACATGCCCTGATCCAGCAGTACTGCCAGACTCTGGGAGGGGAGTCGCCTGTGAGTCAGCCACAGAGTCCAGCGCAGATCTTGAAGTCAGTAGAGAAGGAGGAACGAGGGGAGCTTGAGCGCATCATTGCCGACCTTGAGGAGGAGCAAAGGTGGTGTTGTCTCTCCTTGTAAAGACTGAGGTTTCTTCAAAGTTTTCTAATATATGTGTTTATGTTTGAAACTTGGTTGAGAAATGCCAGAGCTTTACTGTGGATGAGGGGGAAATAAGAACAGAGTGAAGCAAGAACAACAACAACAACAAAAAAATCCCAGCTAATTCTTCAAAATTTAACTGGAGGAACTTGTCCCTTTCCTTGTCCGGCTGCAACATTCCCCTAAGTGCTTTCCTCTTTTTCCCCTCGGATCTTTATTCTTCCCATATTGGAGCTTTTACTGTCAATGGTAAGTCACTAAAACCTGCTCAGCTCACACCTGAAACCTTAACAGCCGTCCCATTCCAGTTACATCAAACCCAGTCCCCAAGTTGCCATATAGAAAATTATCCTTTCAATTGTTCTTCTATTCTTCTTTAGACAAGATTTGACGTAGGCTGTGTTATACTGTTCTTTCTATGAAGAGATCCTGTACTCAGTGTAAAGTTATGCTTTTTCATGCCAAAGGGGAAGACGTACACTTAACTTGTTATAAGGCATGTTCATTTTTTTCCTGCTTAGGCACTAGAACCACAAAATTAAGCTACTTAACAGTGGTATAGACTTTTGTGGAGGGAGAAGTCACCTTTCTTGGAGGTTTTCAAGCAGATATGGGAGGAGCTTTATGACCGATCCTTTCTCCCAGGTTGCTTCCTTTCTCCCAGGTTGCCTTTGAAGCTTGCCATTCACCATGTCGTTTTTCCTCTCTATCTGATCTTTTTTGGATTGAGGTTATGGCCCTCAGAGTCACCCCTTAACTATGGACCTGCAGGCTTTTATGGTGAACATTAAAAAAATACATCTTGATTTTTAAAAATCAGCAATATAAGACTTTAACTCTTCTACAACCCCCCAAACTAGAGGGAGTTTTCTTTTCTGACTAACTGTCTCATCTCTGAGAAATGCAAACCCTGTGTCTGTCATCTTTTCGGTCAGATCCATATCATGTGTCTGTCAAAGCTAAACCCTGTCTATTTCAGCTCCATATCCTGTCTGGCACAAGCCTCTCTATGTTACATTGTGTTCATCCACTTCACAGTCTCCACTTCATAGCCAGATCTGCCCAGTGCCTTCACCACAGAAGTACTGTAATTATGTATTCCTGTATGACAGGGATTGAACTAGATGATGTCTCTGTCCCCTTCCAATTCTTAAGATTTTATGATTCCACATCCTCAGAATTAATTAAAAAATAAAAATTTGATGTTTGGGTTATTTGTACAAACATGCTCACAATTCACTGGCTGCTGCACCAGTTGGTGATCTGAATGTGTGAACATGACATCATCTTTATTACTTTGATCATCAGGCAGTGTAAACCCAAACACAGTTATCACATTAAAAGTTTTCCAGTGTCATATATACAGGTCATGGAGATTCACATGTACTCCTGTATATAAAATAGACCTTTCCCAGGTGGAATGAATGTAGTTTGATAGGTGCCATGAAACATGTGAAGAATCTCTATTTTGTGGTTTAAATATGATGCAATAATCCTCCCAATGGAATTTACCAACCTTTCTTGTCCTTACCATACAGTTCTGTTTTCCTTGCATTTTAAATCTGCTCATGATCAGGTGACTAGCAGGGCATGAAGGTAATGAGAGTTTTAAATCTTCAGCCACACCATTTTCCAAATGCTGTAAAATTAATCTGCAGAAACTAATGAGAAGTTGGGAAGGAAAGAGATGCCTTAGTCTACCACAAGAAAAGGCAAGCCAATGATTGTGGGAGGCATGATCTCTTCTTGCATTGACAGCTCAAATTCTGCCAGTTCAGACTTGTTTTATATGGATCAGCTCTAAGTAGCTGGAATGGGAGTGGAGGGAGAATAGGTGGATGTGGAGTAGAAAGAGCATATACAGGGAGGTCAAGGAGAGGCACTTAATGAGATGACTGCTTAGAGTTACAGTGTGAAAGGACAATCTGAGAGAATGGGTTGATTGATATATGAATTGAGTACATTGGTGCCATTCTCAGCCCTGGTCATGAGGTAAGGTGCTTAAAACAGTCTTTTTGTGCCTGGGCAATACATTTTTCAGTGTATATCAAGCTTTCTCTGCCCTTCTCCTGTTCAGCTGTGTCTAAGAAAATGGAAAAGTGTGTATTAGAACTTGGTAGCTGTGATACCAAGTTCTAATAACTATGAGGTAATGGTGAGAAAAAGGTTACTTTTAAGAGCTGCTTTTAAATTAAATTACTTTGTATCTACAAGGCTGTGAAGGCAGGAGACTTATTCCTCTCACTCTGGCTTATTAGGATGCTACAGGTGGAATATGAGCAACTGAAGGAGCAGCATCTTCGAAAGGGGATTAATGCCCCGAGCTCACCTCCAGACTCAGCCGTGTCACCACAGCACACATCTGAAGATGCCGAACTCATTGCAGAAGCCAAACTTTTACGGCAGCATAAAGGTCGCCTGGAGGCTAGAATGCAGATTTTGGAAGATCATAATAAGCAGTTGGAATCTCAGCTCCACCGGCTACGACAGCTGCTTGAGCAGGTAGGGCACTCACGGTCACTGTCTCCTGGTGGTGAATATTATTTGAGGGCATGCTATGTCATCTTTCCTTCTGGAATAAATGCATTCCTGTATAATTTCATTTAAAATCCCAGTATGCTTTGTATTATCTCTGTTTTCAGTGCTTTGTATTATCTCTGTTTTCAAGTCTTTATTATAAGTATGGTAGAAGCAAAGTTTACCACCAACTGAATTAATCATATGAAATACTTTACCACATGCCCAAATGCATGTGGTAAAGTATTTCATATGATTAATTCAGTTGGTTTATTAGATGCCTCGTATATATTCCAAGGAATGGATCCAGGCTTCACCAATTAAGAATGGAATTCTCAAAAACTGATTGTAATGGGAGCAGGGAATAAGCAACATGGAATTGCCTTTTACCAGTTTCCTACTTTCCATGCAGCTTCCAGCAACAATCATTTCTGTTAATCATTTATTTTATTTATGGCTCATGCACCTCTAAACAATGCTCATTAGAGCCCCACAGGTCTTCAGATTAAATTTTGATAGAATACTACGGGTGAAGTTTTAAAAAATGCTCTCTGCCCTCCTTGTAACAGGAGTGAACTTTGTAACTAAGCCTTAAATTCGAGCAGCACAGAGTTTTCAAAATATATGGACTCTGCTCATGTATATAATTTTTAAATCAAAAAACACATTGGCAGCTTCAGGGTTTTTCTAAAATAATAGAGCTATGATTATGCACTTTTGTGAAAATGAACTACGTGTTGACAGCTATATGTTAGTTTGTGGTATATGCTATTATACGTTTGCTGTACTAATGCATCATTTGCAAAACAGTCTATCACTCTTTTCTTTAAAGTCTGCTTGATTATAGTGATATGTTGACCAAAGAGTTTTGATTAGGTTAATAACCTGTCAAGTTAGGTATGTTATCTCAGAGTCTGTGAGAAGAAAAACAAAATTGAGTCTGGTAAATATTGCTCAATACAGTGGAACACCACAGAATGTTGCTTGGAGGAGTATTTTTCACTCCTGTATCCTGGAACATGAATCTTTCAGGTCTTACCTTGGAGGTGTACTTGCTATTTTTATTTCAGCAAGCTCAAAGGACTGGTGGCTGTCATGGGATGCTGTCATTTTTGTCCTAAAGATTGATTACAATGTCAAACTTAGAGGTGAAGCTGAGCTGGCATGTGGCAGCTTGACAAAGACATGTTAATTATAGAGAAGAGGAAATAATGAAACAATTTTGTTCACTCCTTCAACCCTCTTCCTTACTTCCAGAGATTTTAAAGACCTATTTAAGCAATCTGTATGAAAATAGTTCCCTAAATGCTTTTAAGGCACCAGTTCCCATCTGAACTTGGAAGATAAACAGGGTCAACCTTGTCTGAGAGTCCACCAATGAATACCAGATGCTTTAGGCTATATTTCAGAGGAAAGAACTGACAAAATCCCCTCTGAGTATTCCTTACCTAAGAAAACCTTAGGAAAGTTATAGGGTCACCATCCGTCAACAGGCAGCTTGAAGGTGTGCACACACACACACCCAAAAATGCTGAAGCTGTGCAAATCAATTTAATTTCTTAATAACAAACAACAAACAAAAGTAGTAAATGGTATCCACTTTTCAATACTACAGCAAGTTGCAGCTTGTTAAAAATAGTAGCAAAAACATAGGCAGCTACTTTATTTTGTAATCTACTGGAAAGACAGATGAGGTAAATATGACTGAATATTCACTCACAAAAATAGATTTTATAGATTTTTCGCTACATTGGGCAAAATATTGACAAGTATAGAGAGCATGTATGCATAAATACATGTAAGTGATGTTCTGGCGTTATCACCATAGAGTTTTTCAATGGAGCATGGGATTCATAACTATGAATGTAAAAAAAAGCACCATGGCCAACTAACTTTCAAACATCTCTTCATGCCATCTACAGGACAATGTGCCTGTTGCACTACAGAGAAATGAGCCTCTTTGACTTAAAGTGGCGCTTCAGGCCTTATAATTCTGTTCCACTGAAATCCCTCCATCAGGCTAAATAATGCAGGCTTGGACTGCAATCAAGGCTATTCTGATGATGGCTGAGATGCTACATATGGTTTTATCACCAGATAAACAAGCTTTTTGCTGGGAGCCAATAGGGCCTCTCAGTGCCAGAATCTTGCTCTTTTTTTGATGGGATTTGTTTTCATTTCTGTCGGCTGCTTTTCAAACTTTCATGTGTAAGATCTTATGATTAATGTGTGTATCTGCCTTCAAGTTTCCTGTTGACTTATGGCAACCCCATGAATTTCAAAGGGTTTCTCTTATGCAAGGAATACTCAGAGTTGGTTTTGTTAGTTCCTTCCTCTGAAATGTAGCCTACAGCACCTGGTGCTTGTTGGCTGTCTCCTGTCTCACCAGGGCTAACCAGTGCTTAGATTTCAAGATCAAAAAGAGTCTGGAATCCTAAGGGTCTTTTTAATAGACTGTATCAACTGTTTGAAGCATTTCAGGTCCACCAGTCCTTGCTGGGCTTCCTCTATATCCTTTAAATATTATTCGATGCCATCCAGCAGGCTTCTGGTTTTTTTTGTTTTGTTTTTTTAAAAATAGTTTAAATTTTATTTTAGCCTGAAACAGAGTCCAGAGTTAATGGGGGTTCTTCCTGTGCTTCACCTCAGCATTCTGCCCTCAGCTATTCGCCTGAGCAAGATTCCAGCTCACAGTTTAATCAGACAGGTATGGTACTTGGCTAATATAAAGATAGTTTTGTATTCATTGTGAATTTGCTTACAACATTGTGCATTGTATTAGGTAAGAAAAGTTCTTGAAAAAGGAATAGCTTGATGTGAGTGATCTAGCTTCATTACTGGACTGAAATAATAATTAATGGGTTTATACACTTGTTTATACCCAATGCTCTAGCCATTATGATACTGTATCCAATGCCATATTTGAGCATTTATTCATCTGGAACAAAGCATTAACATTTCAATTACACATATTTAGGTCTCTTGTTCACTTCCTATTGAAACTAAAAAGTTGGTATGTATAGAGAGAGACTGTATCAACTGTTTGAGATATATATATATATATATATATATATATATATATATATATATATATAAGATTACAAAAGCTTCTTATGGGGCTTTACTAATCAGGGATTTAATATGTACTTAAGGAAAGGTTTAATTAAGCATAAGAAGTCTTTTGATCAATGCTAATGCCTTAATGTTTGATGAACTTCAAATTTGATAAGAAAGGTTCATAATATTTTTGATGAACTGTTGTAATGTGTTAAAGTAAATACATATTTTCAATTTTTGCTTTTTAGCATGCGACACAGATCCATGGGCAGGTATAGCAATTTAATAGAAACCAACAAAATCCAATTAAGACAACAAACACAATAAGTAGACAAAATAGAATAAAAACCAACAATAATATGTGGCATGATAACAGAAGGGCCAAATGTCTGCCAAATATCACATTATTAATATTTTGTAACATAAATGTTAAGAGAGTCCTATTCTGGTATAGCTGGAAGCATTACAAATTACATGTAGGACTTTTGGGGGTCTAGTCTCTGTCTAGTGGGTTGGATCCTGAATGTGTCTTCCCCCACCTGACTTGCTCTGCTCATGAAAGGTTTATATCTCATTATTTTTTATTTCCCTGTTTCCCGATATTAACATAATTGTCTTATCTCCTGCTGTGACATTGTCAGAGAGTTGGAGGAGTTGCTGTAGAAGTGAGATGGGGAACAGTGAAGTCCACTTCTACATGCATCTAAATCAGTCTCTAATCCAGTCTTTTCTAAAAAAAAATCATTTGTCCATTTAGAAACAAGTGTATTATTTAGGGGGGCTGGGGGAGGGAAGAATGTATAATTTCTTTGTCTCCCTTACCAGCTTGCTCTAACCTGAACTCGTTGTAAATTTTCCCCTAAGAGAAGCAATACTGTGCAGTGAGTTAAGTGTAAAAAAATGGGGTCAGGTTACTTTCTTTAAACCCCAAAGGCATTATCAGGTGGGGATGCTCAGCTGAAAAGAAAATAAAGCAAGTTCCTTCCTTCATCTACCTAAGTTCCTAGGCCCAATTAACCGAAATCTAGCATCCATGCCTCTTCCTTAATGCAAAAATATTCCATGACAGGGCACATGTACTATCCCTACATCTGTTTGGTATTTAATGTTAGTCTTATCTAGCATCCTTCTTGAAGGAGAGCAAAAAAGACATGGACCATACCACTGGTGGCACTTCTTTCCATCCTGCACTTAGAAAGCACCGGGTACTTTTTAACAAATAGGGTAATTTGCCACCAAACACTCTTTTACAGCTTGATAAAAGAATAACTAAAAAGAAAATGTGTACATCTAGTGGCTTCTGAAAATTCTCTGGTATTATCAGGCACAGTGGTTAAAGTTTATAATGCAGAAATGAGCTATAAATTGATAATTTAACTTCTATTCCTCTCTTCCCTGGCCATTTTCAATGAACAATTCATGCATATCAAATGAGAGGCTTCAAATAGAAGATTCCTTCTTTCTTAATTCTAAATGTTCAGAGGATAAATGTGAATGGAAATAGCTTTTGGGCTCTTTAATGTTGCAGTTTTATTGCTAAACCGATTGCACACTTTGTTTTCATCAGGCGTAGATGACCTGTTAATCCCACCTCATGATACTAGCACAGATCTAACAGATGTCATGGAACAAATCAACAGCACATTTCCGTCTTGCCGCAGTAAGTGTTCATTACATTGAACCTAGGAAAGTGAGTCTGACTCTAATGTAGTCATTTGTGTCTTCCAACTGCACATCAACTTATAGCAACACCATGCATAATATAGTTTTTTCTTAAGCAAGGAATGCTCGGAGGTGGTTTTTCCAGTTCCTTTCTCTAAAATATTCCCTACAGCACCCCATATTTATTAGAGGTTTTTTATCCAAGTACTAACTAGGTTTGACTCTTGTTAGCTCTCAAGATAATAACAAATAGTCATTTTAAAACACTCCATAGAATACACATATTTAAACATATTTCCATAAAATACATATTAAAATACACAAAACAGAAGCTAGGCATAGAGTGGAAGTTTAAAATTCATCATTAAAATTATCTGGGTGGGCCTGCCAGAAGAGATAAGTCTTCACTTGTTTCTTAAATTCTGACAGCTGATCTAACTGTCGGAACTCTATTGACAGGACACTCCACAGTCGTGGTGTGGCTGATGAAAAGGTCCTCTGGGTCCGGTGGTTGCCAGTCAGGTTCTGCCAGGCTGGTGCAGACACTCCTCAGAGGACCTCAATGTTTGGGGCAGATTGTATGGGAGAAGGTGATCCTATAGGTAACCTGGACCCAGATGAAAAGAGATCTGTTGCCTTTGGAGTATTTAGGGTGATTGAGTCTCCCCAAGTTTGATCACGCCCCAGTTCTCTCCTCCCTCTGCCCTCTTATTGGAAATCATTTGGGTTTTTTCCTTGGTTTTTCTCTCTCTCCTAGTATTCTCTCTTTTCTCTGACTGGCTCGGTATTTCTTTGGCTTTTTAAAGAGAGAGAGATAGAGAGGGAAAGAGAGAGCTATGGGGCGAAGCCAAGTGGAAGAGTAGAAGCTGATTTTTTTTTTGCTTGAACATTTATTATTCCACAGCATCTTCTTGTGAATGTGAACATAAGTGAGTTGGAGGAGATGAACTAATACTTGCATCACAATATAGACCTTCCCTCATGCAATACTGGTTCTATATCTATGTCCTAGAGGGGGGAAATACCTAATGGGTAATCGTTCCAAGCACCTAGAGGGCCATGAACTGATTTGGGGCTAACTAAGATGTAGTAAGGGGCAGTGTATGTCCAAACAATGTGAATCTTCACATGTGATATCTTGCTTTGAAAAATATACAATATTTACTGGGTCTATTCTAAGCAGTTGCTTTCTGAAAATGTGGAGTGGCCACTCCTGTTAAAACCTGAGAACCAAACAACATTGTCATCAAGGATTAGAAATATATTCCAAAACATTTTAAAAATGCATAGAATGGTGCTTCTCAGTGCTCGGAAACTGACAGGACTATATTTTTGCTTATGTGAAAAAGGTATTATCTCGTGACTTAGCATAATGTTTCAGTACCTACATGCCTTTAACACGTTAGCCTACAAAGCCAGATGGCTCTTCATTGATAATTCTAAGGCCATTGTTAGTGAAACACTGCTTCATACTTCAATGATTCATAAATACCTGGAATGACATACTGTTTGCTCATTCATATCTCATTAAAAACACATTATATTATTAATCCAGATGTCTTTATTCTACTATTACTAGAATATAATGTAGCTCTTTTTTTACAGGAGAGGGATCATTGTGGATAACTTTTGTTATGATCATTTTCAATCTTGGCTATGCTGGTACCCAATTACTACTTGAAACTAAATTGTCAATTCTTTGTGGTTTAGTAATAACTTTGTTCTTCTTCCTTTAAACTTAGCATAAAAATAAGTGCACTGGCCATTTAGAAAAGCTGAGGCTGTCAAGGTGCAGAATTCTGTGAGATGAAGTCACATTACTTTGTTGTCTGAATTTTACTAAATTCTATTGAATATTCCCTTTATATCTCATGCCCAGTTTTCTCCTCTTTGAAGAACTGCATCAGAACTAGTCTTTGTGAATAATTGGAAAGGAAATTAAAATCCAGTTAGATTGAACTGATCCCTATGGCCAAGAGTTAGAACCATATACCTATTCAGACTCTATGTCTGATTCAAAATTGAAGACCTTTTAAACAACACTGTAATTTGGCATCATCAAATGAAGATTTTGATCACACAATTAAAGATGTTTAATAGTTTTTACCTGCTGTGATGCATGAGAGATACATGCAAAACATTTTGATTGTCCTTTTGTATCCACTTTAAAAAGGCTCGCATGTGATTAAAAGCATGGCTGAGCATTAAGTAGATGTTGTGAATGAAGGAGTGAAGGCACCACAAATGTATTTGGAAATGCCAGTGTTTTATTAACAATAGATTCAATGATCTGATAACATGCCTATAATCCAGTGCATCTGCTTCTGGATGGACTGCTGGAGAACTACCTAGGGGGACCCTCATGAAATTCATAGAGTCACAATGCGGTTGAGGCCTGCACAACATATCCTGGGCCTAACTCAGTGACCATCACCCCAAGATCTCATAAGAAGACCCACATAAAATGGATGAATGAAGGTTCACATCAGTAATGCACCCCCAAATTTGGGTCTGACCTCATGCCACACTATTCAAGTTGTGACAAGAGTAAAATATATCCTGTTTAATTTGTTCTTGTGTGTCTTCATTCCTAACTTATAGCAACCCTAATGCAAACCTGTCACAAGGTTTTCTTGGTAGAATGTGTTCAGAATATGTTTAGCTTTGTCTTCCTCTGTATATATATGTATGGGTAATATAACCATTAACTCAAATGGGTGGTGTACAACACTGTCCTCTTCACTGTCCTGCAAAAACCAGGGCTAGAATTTTTTTCTAGATACACAGTGGGCTTCTCAGTAAAAGCAAACTAATTAAAATTCCACACACAACCCACTCATTCCCCACATGCATATAAACAACCACTATTTAAACCTACACAAACTAAATATAGAAGAGATTTGTGGATCTCACCCATCCCTTCTACATTTGAAAACAAACCTGAGCATGTGAATTTGAAATAATGCCCATCCTGAATTCTATTATTAAGAACAATTCCTATCTCAATACTAGCCAAAACATTTTGCTCTGTGGCTGACCCTGTATGACCTCTTACACTCCACTGCACATGATAGAGTTTAGTTCAGATTTTATTGTTGTGATAATTTTATTCAAAATAATGAGAAGCCATGGCAGCAATTTCCTCCTGTATGTAAACAGGAAAGTGGTTTATTGCATTGTTTTACTCTGTAAAACAAGCCTTCCTTTTAATATTTTGTGTCTCTATTACTCATTGAGGGCAGTGTGCAGTTTTTAAACAGTGACATAATATAAAACAACACATAAAAAAAGCTGAGTTCTTGCAATTTGAGTGTGTGTGTGTATGGGGTGTGTGTGTGTGTGTGTTCTGACAGCATAATTTCTCTGACCTGGGCTTTTCCCTTTCTTGAAGGCACAAACAATTTAGACCTTCTCAGGAAATGCCCTGGTTCCATTGACTATCATAGCCTGTTTCCCCCTGATAATCATTAGTGTAGTATTCTTCAGGAAACTTTTGACAGTTCTACACAAAACATATAATGTACTTCTGAGTCGACTCGAGGGCGGGGTTTCCACAAAGCGTACATCCCCAGTGTATTCTGTAGAATGCTTTAAACCCAAAACAATGTGTTTAAAAAACTCACCAGAAAGTCCAGAGTAAGCCAGATAATGTGCTGCAGCTGAGCAGAGTATACCTCCTGCAGGTCTCAAAACCAGGACAAGAAAATTGGGAATTCTTGTCAGGACACCTGTAGTGCTGATGCTATGCAAATGCATTCTTTTAGCCACTGCAGAATTGAGTCCAGGAAAACACCCAAACTGCAAGTCTTAGAGGAAGTATAACCCTATCCAGTTCCTAGCCCCTATTCCCTATTTCAGTTGAACAGAAATAACTTTATTGTTTCTGTTCAACTTTATTAAGTTTCAATTTCTTTGCCCTCATACAGTCCATTATGGATAACAGACATTGGTTCAGTACTGGGATGGCTTCCTTGAAATAAAACGGAAATGAGAGGTAGAAACATATAACCTTGGAGTTGGAAGAGACCACAAGGGCCACCTAATCCAACTTCTTGCAGGAACACACAGTCAAAGCACACCTGTCAGATAACCATCCGACCTCTATTTAAAAGTCAGTAGTGATTTTAATGCAGCTGACTCTCAACCATGTGCACCACAACCCGGTCCAAAACAAAACCCTGAAAGACTCCAAATACCAACAACCTGGGCACCACCTTAGCACTACTCTCTGAATCCCCAGCCCCCTGCATAACAGTGGTCCAGAGTTCTGTCCCAGAGAATTCGCTCAAAAAGTTATCATGGTGGACTGTATGGAAAATCATTAAGTCCAGCAAAACTAACAGGAAAACTAACTTTCTGTCCAGTTCTTTATTTGACCAAAGTTGTTTGTGTACCATAACCAGGCCTGAAAGCAGATTGAAATTAATCTAATCTATTTCATCCAGAACCCTCTGGAGCTGGGAAGTCACCACAACACCTTGAACAAAAATGGAATGTTTGTTCAAGGTGTTTGGTCAATAATTATTCAGAGTGGTCAGATCCAGAGAGACCTTTTTTCTAGCAAGGACTATGTTCACGACAGCACCTATACTGAACCATGTTCCTGGGATTCTTTGCAGAATTAAAATAAACAGTAATATATTTATTGTGTTTATAGATTGCTGCTGTAGCCTGTGTCTGTGGGTTACTGGGAAATATGGCAGCTAGCACAAAGTTTGGGGAAACTACACTATTCATGCTGAAGGTTAGATTTGGGGACCTTACCTTCAAAATGGTGATTGGGGTACATTAGTGAGAGGCACCTGGCTGGGGTTTGACTAACAGGGACCACTATGATATTTTATTGATGGTCTAGTGACACAGGCTAGTGATGTGGAGAAGTGGCTTCCAGACTTTCAATTTTGAGATCCATTCTGAAAATAATGACTTGTGACAGTACTTTTAATTGGTTTGGCAGCATACTATGTGCCCAATAAGAAATTCTTGCAGGGTGAGTTAAGGACAGAAGTTCTCTTATGATAAGCATTATAGAGAACAACAGACGGCTATTTTTAATATATAATTTCTCTTTCTCAAATTAATGACACACAGTTCCTAGGAGTGAGCTTTTGATAACCATGGTTTTTGAAACATAAAACTTAATGGAAGCAGAGTCCCTCAGGGATAGCAGCACTATGGAGTTAATTCTTACAGTCCAAAATATAATGAGTTGGAAATGCTTTGTGTTGCAGTGACCGTAACCAGTCTATGGAACTTCACTGAATCCCCATTATGATCACCAGATGGCATACCTTTGACTTTTTTCAGAAAGACCTTTATTACCCTCACTTATATGAATGTGAAACATTGTCTAGAAATTAATACTTGTGAAAACTTAAGAACCTTTTTCCAAAGTCAGCCCAAAATGGTTTGGTACCCCAGGCAAGGCAACATATTCCACCCGATCTCAGCATGTAATGGATTATTTAATATCTGTTTGCATTCTGTTAGGCCCCCCAATAGATCACAACATATTTAGAGACTAAAGCTGTGTCAGTTGAGAAAACAAATAGCTGACATGCATTGTAGATCATTCAAAGAACTGAGCCAAGCTACAGATTGGATCTCAGATATACTGCTTATGGTGCAGGAATTATGTTGGAATTATTTCCTGCTTTATAGAATCATAGAGTCTTAGAGCTGGAAGGGAGCATAATGACCATGAAGTCTTACCATGCAGAAATAAACAACTAAAGCATTCTCAAAATCGGTTGAAAGACCTCAAAAGATGGAGATGCCATCTATTCCACTACTGAATAATGGTAAAGAGGTTATTATGTTTACATTAAATCTCTTTTCTTATAATTTGAATCTGTTGGTTTGTGTTCTAACATTTGGAGTATAAGAAAATAAGTTATGTTCTGTCTTCTGTATGATCTCTCTTCAGATGTAGAACTATAGCATGATGGCTAACTTTTGCTTTACCCAGAGAACAGCAAAGCTGAGTGTTTGCCTCTAAAATGTTGAATTTGGACAGAATACTAAGAAAGGTTGTCTCTTAATGATATTATATATATAGAAGTCTCCAATGACAACATGGCCAAAAGATAACCTTGTGGTTTTCCAATAGAAACATATATGCCTAGATGTAGCTCCTCTGAGTGTTGAAGTCCCATAGTTCGAGAAGTGAAAAGCATAACTTGCTCTTGATTCTTTCCATGTACAAGCAGTCCCCAAGTTATGAACAAGATAGGTTTTATAGGTTTGTTCTTAAGTTGAATTTGTATGTCAGTTGGAACAGGTACATTTTTAAGTGTAACCCCAGCCAAACACATATATTAACTTTGGATAGCATAGGGAAGGATTAACACCCCTGTGGTGTTTGTTTTGTTGTCTCTGCCACTGTTCAGAAGTTGTCACCTCTCTTTCTGTCTCTGTGGAAATTGGATTTTGAAGCTTCAGTGGAAACCTTTTCCCCATGATAACTCTTTCAAGAGTGAATTTCCCTTCCTAGGGGCAGATTTCTCTAACTTCCTGTTGACCCATATCTGTTCTCATTTGTAAGTTGAATGTTTGTAACTCAGGGACTGCCTGTAATGCAGAATGCATAGTTTCTGCTCCTTTGAAAATATAATGAAATGGGAAGAGATACTTCAACAGCTTTCTCTTTAGACGGTTTTTCCTTCTCTGCTGAGTTGCTTAAATCACATTAATGATCCATACAGCGTTCTTCTCCCAAGCAAGGGGTTTGGTTGAGGGGTAGAAGTCATGCATTGCTTTAGTGATTACAGAGAATCCAAAATCCAATTCCAGAATATCTAGTTAAAAAGAAAAATACCCCATGGATGGGAAATTGGAGAATTACAGCCATTTACAGCAGTGTTCAGCTACATGGACTTGATATAAAATGGCTTCACTTTCTCCTTCGTCTTTCTAGAGCTTGATAAGAATATGCACTCAATGTATATTTCTCACTTAACAAAGTATATGTGTTCCTGGGAATCATTTCTTTAAGGATGAAATCACATTAGTATTATAGAACAGAAGCTTTTCGTTCCCTATCACCCAGTTTGCTCCTGCAGAATTCTGGGCAATGTAGGGCCTTTGGAATTCTCAGCCAGAGTGGTCCTCAGCTTCCTTAAACTACATTTCCCAGAATTCTGCAGGAGCAAACCGAGTGATAGAAATAGATGAAAGCCTCCGTTCATATCATAGAATCATAGAGTCAAAGAGTTGGAAGAGACCTCATGGGCTATCCAGTCCAACCCCCTATGATACTAATGTAATTCCGTGATAAGTAAAATTTTGTACCAGGGCAGAATAACATGGAAAGGATAGAAAGAGAAAGATAAGTGAACACATGAAATGAAACAACCAGGTCAGTTAAGCCTTGCATGATTAAACAAACATATTTCGAACCTTCAAGGACCATCTGTAGAATTTTTTTTCTTCATAAAATCACCCAGGAATTACCTTTTTCATTCAGCATTCTCCACTTTTCTTATTATTTCCAATTTGGTGCAATTCCTAGGAGTTTTATTTTTTAACAGGCTAGGAGAGCTGGTGGGGAAGACTTCTCTCCTCCCCCTTGTCTCTTTGTTTTGCCATTCATAGATGGTCCTTAGGGGATTCTGTGGTTAGCTTTTGTGTCTTCCTTGTCAGTTGTAGATAAGCACACACAGCTACAATATATCTCCCAGCAAAAGCTTTCTTGCATTGACACACTGCTGCATAGGTAGTGTGCATTTTTCTAGTCCTTCTTCACAAGCCCCCCCCCCCCCCAATGCCAATGCTGCTAAAAATGCTCAAATTAACAGAGAATTGAGAAGAAAGATTGGAAGGCTTAATTAACTTAGGTAGTCCTGTACTTGTTGCTTGTACTTGGGATAGCACCACTAGCCTTCCCTGATTTTACTAAAGGAGGTTAAAAGAGAGTCTGAACATTTTTTATGGTAGTGAAATACATACCTCAATCCCAATGGTCTGATTAAGTGAATTACCCAACCACTTACATCTTCTGTATAAGTGTCTGAATAATGTATGTTTGTTCTATAAATGCTGCTGACACTTCCTTGTACAAACTTTGTGCATCGCTGAAATGGAAATTAATTTAGAGACTAACATTCTGATCTTAAAAAGGCTTTGCATTTTCACGAAGCAGGCACCCACACAATGTTGTCAAATTACCATTTCTAAGATAAAGGGAGCCACTGAAAGAACACAGGCCTTCTTCATCTCAGTAGCATAACTTCACATTTTAGGAGCACAATACTGAAATGACCTCAAATGCACTAGTTAACCGACAAAGGAGTTGTTTAGTCATGCCTTTTTTGCTGTTACTTTGTTTTATGGTAAATCAACAGAGGGAGGTTGATGCGTAAAATTTGTCCTAATTTCCTGCAACTAATGGAGTAACATCAGGTTTGCAATGTTATTAAGTTTTCAAACAGTACCTTCTGAAGACAAAGAACAATTAAAATCAGGAATAGTATTTTTTTCAAAAATAACTTTAGTCTGAGAAAAATGTATTTTTTAATTCTAGCTTTCTGACCACCTGAATATAAGCTTATGTCCTTTTTAGTCAAGTTGACTAAGCCATTATAGCAACTCACAGCAGATGTATTACAGAATCAGTACTTGAAGTTAGAGTAGTGGTATGATTTAATTGATAATTGTATGTTATTATCGTTACATTAGGTTTCTGTATGTGAGGCATTAATTTTTGCCATAATTATGTTCCATAATTATGGTTGAAACCACTTTGAGTCCCCCGCAGTATACAAGTGAAGTAAATAAATAAATAAACAAACAGTGATCTGTATTACGATTATTGTGGAGATATCTTACTGCTTGTACAGCAAAACCATTGAGTGTAAATACACCTGTGGATACCTCCCTTTATTGTGTTTCTATGTACATTTCGGAAACTAGTTCCACTCATGTTGTCTAGGCACATGCATGCAAGTGTTTCAAGACTTCACACTATATGGGTTGATGATGACATTTGTAAGGTGATTCTTAGTCTGAAAGTCATATTTTGATTAATTAAGACAATGTAAGTTTACTCTATTGTGTGGTTCCTTTGCTGTCACTAAAAATTGCAAATCCAGTGTCTGAAGTCTATATAGAGCAATAAGAATTACATGACTAGGTCCTATTGGATGAGCTGGGATTTTTTTTTTTTGGGGGGGGGGGGTTCAGGAAGGCTGCATATCCAGTTAGGACTGAATGTACTAGAAGCCCCCCATTCATGGGAACCTGAGAAAACATTTCTCTGTTTTTCTTTGCATAGTAACAGAAAGGATCATTGCTTAGCCCTGACATAATGTCCTGCATTATTACAAGATTTTCCAGTTTATAATTGCAGGAAGAATATAAGGATAAAAAATACCAGTATGATCTAGAACAGTTTAAATTTAATTATCGGAACACAAACAATTTAACAAGACTGCAAAACTGGAAAAAGTGATGTGCCAAGAGATTTAATATAAAATGTGTGTGATAAAATGGCTGTTACCATGCTCGGGATTTACTGGGGAGGAATATACAAATGCAGCTGGGTAAAACTGCTACTCAGCCATTTTCAAGTGTTGTTCATTTGAAATATGCATTGCTTTCTATACACAGCACAGTTGTAACTTAACCCTTGGGTCTTTGCCTTTTATTGTGATTAATTTTCTTCTTCCTTCTTTATAGCAAATCTTGCTGGCAGACCACAGGTATGATTTTTCTTGCGTATTTTTTCGGCAATGTCTTCCAGTGGAGGCACAAGATGTCCTACTTGTTCCAGGAACAGTCATTGTTTAGCTGCAGCATTTGTCACAGTGAAAGAGTGGGGCTGCCAGGATTCTCCAACTGTCCACTGTGGGGCCTGCACTCCCACAGGGTGGCAAAACTTCCTAGAAAAGTAGAATTATGTTTTACTTCCACTTCCATTCCCTTGGATTTCAAATGAACCAAGGAATTCACCCTCTAATGAACTAAGAAATTACCTTGGTTTATTAGAGGGCTAGATCCAGTGTCTATAGCATACAAGTAGAAACATACAGCATAGGCCCAAGAAGCTCATTTTAATTTTGGAGAGATTTTTTAAAAAAAGAGCAAATGCAGAATTGAAGATTTATTTTACCCATGAAATACATTCCATAGAGATGCAGAGACATCATTACCTACAGATTTATAATGATGTCATGGTACAATGACTAACAAAGCAGCACAGTTTTTGCCAGCATAGTACCAGGAAAGCACAAAGTCTATAGGAATGACACACAGCCAGCCAAATCTCTGGTTGTGTCATTCTCTTGAAGCACACAGAAACATTTTTCACACTTTATTTCACTTGCTGAAGAAGGGTGATTAATGATAATGTGAAAACAATTATTACCTCAACCTATTCCAGTGAATGAATGTTAAATTCTTATTCACTGGCAAAAATAATGGAAATAATAATAATAATTTTTGACATTGTAGATAAGATAATGAAAAAAAATCTAAATATCCCCAAAACAATTTATTTTCAGATAAGCACCATAGTATTCTCAAGGAAATTATTCCTACTAGATATCATTACTACATCTAGTAGTAATATCTAATTATTACTAAAGATATAATAATAAACTTCTGTGTCATTATTTTCTCTATCTCATTTTCTTACATGCGCCAGAAGCCATACTTTTAAATCCCTTGCATGTTTACTGAAAGGATTTCATCTAAATGAGTTATCTTGTGACAAGCAGTTCCAATGGCATGGAAGCCTTCCTTACTATCCATCCATGGTTCATTGTCACCATGCTGAGTTTTGCATCATTCCCACCAGAGTCTATTGAGGGCATCACAATCTGTGTTTCCAACTATTAAAGCTTAGGTAACGATTGCCAGCAACATAGAGCTGTTTTTGTAAGGTCCCCTTGGCAGTGTTAACAGGCCATAATCTGTGAACAAGCAATTTTCTTCTAAAATTCTTTTAGCTGTGCAATATGGTGAGCCCACAGGATATTTAAGGATGCTTACAAGGGCACCATTGTAATGCAAAACCATTTGTGCGTACAGTGAAACTTGGCTTACTTTGCCATGCTAAATCTTCCCCCTGGTAGGCAAAGATAATAATACACATATAAACCCAAAACAGCTTCGGAATTTCTATCAATTCTTTTTCGATGGTGCTAAAACAGCCATGGACAGACTTCGGCCCTCCAAATGTTTGGGGCTTCAACTTCCACAATTCCTATTAGCCTACTGGCTGCTAGGAATTATGGGAGTTGAAGTCCAAAAAACCTGGAGGGCCAAAGTTTGTCCATGTGCTAAAGTATACTGCATTGTTAGTGTAACCTGCCTTCAGATAATTTCCAACCCATGACTCTAAGGGATTTCTTGGGAAGTTTTCTTCAAAGGGGTGGTGTGGGCGGCGGGGGGTGCCTTTGCATTTCTCTGAGGAAGAGTGTGACTCACCCAGAGGTAAAGAATCCAAAACACAGATAAAAAGTAATGAGGAAACATTGCTTATTACATGAAAAATATAACATTTTGGATATTACATAGTTTTGCAAAAGGAATACAATTGTGCTCCCATTATTTCCAAAAGCAATATGATATTTGTAACTTTTGTTACTTCCAAACCATGGTCTATAGACAGAAACCCAAGCCTAGCTATTTCAAAATGTGGAATTTTTGACAATAATAGAAGAACAACCAACAGTTCTATGGGCATATTTACAGATGATGATATGCAGTCCAGAAGCAATGTTTCTTCCTACTTTAGGAAGAGTAATTTTGAGGACTTTCTCAATTTTGGTTATTTTCTTTTTTAGGTGCTTTTTTCTAGAAAGGAACTATAAACTAACATATAATGTAGAACATTTTTAAAATGTGGAAAAATTAAATTCACAGTGAGTTACATAATACATTTTTAAAGCCATGTTCCCAGCTTTGCATGGGATAATTTGGAAATACAGTAATTATAATTTACTATTTTTTCACTTTCTTCTCTACTTCAGGCAATGTGAAGTTCTCATTGTGAAGACCACCCACCCTTCCTGTCATCAACTACAAACCTTTTCTACAAGTTTCAAGTTCCAGTAATCATACAACTGCATGGGACCTTGTAATATACTGTTTAGCTCTGTGTGTTCTTATTTGAAATAGGAAAACACTTGAATTACCCAAAGATGAGGATATTGTGGTTTTATAATAATGTGTGTATTTTCCCTTCCTTCTTCCCTTTCTATGCAACTGTAAATTAACAAACTGTGGAGTATTTGGAAATGGGTATACATATGTCATTGATTTATATAATATGCAGCATCAGAAATGGGGGGTGCGGGTTTATATTCATTCTTTTTTTGATATTGCTAAAGTGAATTGCATACAGAGTTTGAAGCAAAGTGTTAATACATTCCTTTCAGCTTTGACATTTCATGTTCCAAGTACCTCCTATTCTGACACACACATAATTCTGCACAAGTTATTTCTACTAAGCCTAACAGATTCAAAACATGGAAAATGTATTATAACACTCCCATTTAGTATTTGACAAATACTATTTCTTGTTATCTATATAACACACAAGACTGTGTTTTTTGGGCTAGCTTTGACTGCAGTTACTGTTGGCATTAAAGCAGCATTTTAATGGTTTCCGTCTCCCAGTTGAATGTGGACTGATCTTTTCCCTCTGACATTTTTTACTTTCAATTGTGTGCTAAGCTGCATTTTTAACTCTGTATGATCATTATGAATATATTCCAAGGGAAAATTGTCTATATGGTCGAATTGTGCCAAAGTTTGTGAAGTCTTTTGTATAAATCTCCAATGTAAAGGGTAAGACCCAGCTTGAAACCATTGCGTTCTCCTTTTGGAAACAGGTGTGGCCTCTTTGGTGGTTGACTGTTCTGCCTTCATTTCAGAGTGTTTGGCTGGATACCTTCAACCAGTACCATCTCATGGCCCCTTTAATATACATGTTTAATGGTAAAAAAATGTGTAAGGAGTTCAGACACTGTTGATGATAAGTGGCAGAGCATTGGTCCTCCACTGTGAATTTGCATAGACATTTACTATCTCTGTGAAACACTCATTTGCTCTATAAATTGCATGTGGGCAATAGAAGCTTTAAAAGATCCTAATGGTGTTGGGGGGAAGTCCAATCTCAGTTATGCCCAATAGCAAAGTGGCCAGACCCAATGTTCTGCTGGTTTTACCGCATAAGCCCCAAAAGAGAATCTTTTATCCACTATGATGTAAAAGTAAGAGCTGTGATTCGGCTCTGAAACATAATTCTCCTAATGCAGATGTCATGCTGAGTATTCACTTTCCCCATTTTTGCCTCTGAGGTGGAGATAGCAAAAATAACAGTTATACCTGGATGTAATGATGAATTTCCAGTTAGACACTGTATGTTAAATACTCTGATGATTTTAAGTGCTGTCTAAATAAAAAGTATTATTTTTGATGGGGAGGGCGGGGGGACTTCCAAAAGCAGGTCACAGAAAAGCAGGTGGGTTTTTCATCTTGACAGAAATATATTTTGGTATAGATATTTTGAGAAGGAAGAAAAAAGTTTTGCAGAAAAGGAAAGCCATGATCACCTTTCTACCTCAAACCCATATTTTTTAGTATTTAGTTTTGGAAACAACTCAGTGTTCTGGTTTAACATGGTGTTTTCTTTTACCAGATCACATCAAAATAAGGGAAAAGAAAACTAGCCCCCCTCTTTATAAAAACACTTTAGCAGAAACTATCCCGGTTATGAATACGATGGCTTTTTTGTTATGATTGAAAGGTTATATATATATATGAATTGTTTTTTCTGCTTGTGTTTGTATGCAAATTCTGTCCTCTACTCTGCTGTCAAGTAAAAGCTCCTTAAAACATTACATTGTAATATTCTTCCTCTGAGACACTGATAAATAAAAGGAATATGTTGCAGTAACATCTCAAAACAAAAAGTATGCAGTTCTTTTGAATTTTCTGGTATTAAACTATCACACTTCACTTTCCTAATCTGGTTACATGGTATGACTTTCTCTCTGAATAAAATTAATTTTTAAGTGACGTCCATTTGATATTCTTCATCCTAGAAGCAAACAAGATTTAAAAGCTCGTTCCCTGTGAGAACATTTCCGACTTCAAGGTGCCTTTATGAAAATAAAATGTGTAGCTGAAACATATAGCTCAGTAAATCAGTGAATATTTTTCTGCCATTTTGCATCTTTAGGAATGCAGGGTGCCAGCCATCTGTCTCCACTGATGACAGGTTTTAAATTTTAACCACCAATCTGAGAATTGGGTTTAAAGTATACTATTAATATTGAAAATATCAATGTGTATTGCCCTATTCAGTGGCAGGACTGGAAAATGGTTTTTCAAATTCACTGACTTGCTCTCAGCAGGGCTTTCATTTCTAATGAACTGTTCAGTATTCTGACAGGAAACATAATTTATAACCAGTGGGACCTTACAACAACGTTAAACATACTAGACATTGGGCTTAATCAGTTCTTAGAGGCTGTGATGCTGACTTAAAAATCATTCATCTATAGAGGAAGCATGCATCCAGAATCAGAGATAGTAAAGCTAGAACAGAGTTTTATCTCCATGGGGATTTTGCCCAGTGCCTTCATAGCAACAAGAAAGCTAGGTCCCTATTTAGGGCATGGTAGAGATGTAAGAGTGGCATGGGTTTTATAGTAGATCACTGCATAATTAACTGATATTCTGTATAATCTATTTCTGAGACCTATTATATAAAGTCCTACATGAATCATGAAATCTCTGAAATGGAAATAGATTCTAGTCATGGTATGAGCTTCTAGGATCTCTTAAGTTCTTCTCATCACATATGAATTAGCCCATGTAACAAATAATGTAAAATAGTTTGAAAGGTTACCTCACAGCTAGCTCTGAGGAAGAAATGCCTACTTTTTTGGCTGATATATGACCTTTCATATCTTGATATTACAGGGTCTTGGAAAAAATAGAGTCATTTGTATTTAATCCATGTATCTTAAAAGTCTCGAGATGCTTACAGTCTAAATGTTGACTATAGGGATGATGACAAAGATAGAGAACTAAAGACAGATGTGCACAGTCTCACTACACAGATATGAGTACACTCAAAGTTCTCTTTATATTTTCCACCCATGAAAATATTGCCCAACAGATACATTGGTGAATTTGTTATGGCTGTTTGGCAGGTTTAGTAATATTTTAGATAGTAGAAAGGTATCTAGCCAGGTCTGAGGTTTCACAATGCATTGGAATATTTCACATTTCAGAACATCACAAATCCAGCTCAACACCGAATTGGAAAAGTATTGGCCTTTTGCTGAACTTTTCCTGAACGTTTGTTCAGTTTCATACTGATAGTTGCTGCAGGTGTAGGACTAACACAATGCAAAAGAGCTGAACTGATTTATCTGTCCCTGCAATGCTGTCAGAGTGAAAGATTTTGTAGTGTTTTGTATTGTGCTGCTGTCACAGCTATGTCTTACTGCAGGCGTGATAAATCTTAGACTGAGTTGTTAGCAGTTGAAAGAATAAGTATGCACTTTTGTACTCCATCCTTGGGGACATTTAACATTACCAAAGGAAAAGATACATACTTTTGCTGACTGATATTTTAAAAATATTAGCTCGAAACTAAAACTCATAGATATCTTTCCTCCTCCAGTACTTAGCATTCCATTGGTTTTTTGGCACCAGTCTTAGCAGTTTTCTTCCTTTTAGGCTACTCCATTTTCTGGTTTTACAGATAAACCTTCCACTTTGGATTTTTTTTTTTCTAGATTTAATCTGAGGGCTTAATCAGGTTTTTGGGTGGATTTATTCCACTGGGCAGACTGTGAAAGCTACAGCACTTACTGGTGTGTTTTGTCTTGTCAAGGCATGGCTCCAGAGGGATGGGAAGGAGGCCTAAAACTAAAGATTTACATGACCATTCTTTGGAACTGAGAAGCAGTCAATGGGGAAAGCTGTTCAAAATGATTAGTACAGCTCTTCCCTTTGCATGGATGGGCATTTTTTTAACAAAAGGAAAATGTCACACATATAAGAAATTTTATGACCCAGTAACTATTAACCAAGAAAGATTGAAAACCAGAGTAATACACAATGGTCCAACTCTGCCCAGTAATGTGATGCCTGCCTGAGCAGGGCTATCTTTCTTGTTGTTCTTCTTAGCCACTAATAACAACACGAGGCAGGAATTCTGGCAAGAGGGAAGACAAAGCACCTGTTCAGCTTCCAGTCCTAACTCTTTTTGACAAATTTCACCACGTTGATGTGTCTCCAGCACTACCAAGAGGGAATCAATCATGCTGCTAGAGTGTTCTCAATAATCCAATAAGATGGGATGCCATTTCTTGCTCATTCCCCTTGAAAGAAGTACATACAAGAGCAGTTAAACATAGCTCTGGGAAATATGCCATGTCATTACTCTCAGACATCTAAAATAAACAACAGGAAAATGTAATTCTTTTGGTAATTTACCCTCAAGCTCTTATGGCTCTGTAATATTTTACACCATTTTTAGAACATTAATCTTTTGTTAAGAAATTATAGGAAGTAATAATTGCTTACAATAAAATTGAAGAGCACCATTTTAATTTAGTCTGAGAAGCAAGGCAGCCTATGTTTTTGATCCTTCCAAGACTTTCCATTCCCAGACTTGTCTTCATTCTGACACTCTTCCTTAAGGCTAGAAATAGCAGTGTGAAGCATCAAATGTTTGTGGGAACCAACAGAGCTCGGGCTCTAGGGGGATCCTAAGCTCCTACTCTAAAACTTAGCAGAAAGGAACAGTCCAACTCCAGGGAGCAAACAGAGGGGTAAAAACTAAGCCGAGATTTCACAACGCTATCATAGGATTCTCTTGTCAAGATTTAGTCAAAACAGGTTTGTCAAGGCTGAGAGAGTGACTTGCGTAGAGTCATCTAGTAGGTTCCACAGAGATTTAAACCCTGGTTTCTCCTCGCATAACACTCAAAACTACAATATTATGTTGGTTCTGTGATAGCATATGGATATATTCCATGCTGTATAATGAATATGAAAGGTAGTCAGACAGCCAAATTGCTCAATTATTTATCTTGCTTTCATTGTGGAATCAGTTTAATTAAACATTTATTTCCTGTTAGTATTTACATCCTATCTCACTGTCCAGCAGAAGAGTATCTTTGTAGGATTATTACTATGTTAGCACAGTCCTCAGAAGGCTTCTTTTTACAAGTCATCCTTCCCAAGTGCCTACAGATCTTGTGTGTGCATGCATTTCCATAGTTAAAGAAACCTGCAATATACTCTTTGCAGTCAAAATGGCTGTTAACATCACTGATAATAAAACATGAATGTCAAGATAGTGATGTCAGATTAATAAATACTTAGAATGTCAGTCAGCAATAAGTAGGGCAATCTTTGAGTGCACTTGTTTAAGTGCAAATCACTGAAAGGATGATTTCAGAGCTCTGTTTGATGAATAAGTTGCAAAGTAGTTAAGATCAGCCATGCCAGATGTTTTGTAGAAAAGGGAATATATATGCCATCTGTCAGAGATATGATCAGTAGCTGGTTCAAAGAATATCGGGAACGGCAGCAAAGAAAAAAGAAGATAGAAGCAACAGCTGCCATGTGAATTGCCTCTGAAAATATCCA